ATAACCCTTTTAAGTTATATATTAATATTAATTTATAAGAAGAATAATTAATATAATAAAGTTTTAATCTAATTTAAAAATATATCTTAATTAAACTTTATTTATTTCCTTTTTATATATTTAAACTTTCTTTTTATAATTTAATATATATTTTTATAATTTTTATTTATTTTATTATATATATAAAGAATTTTAAAAGTATTAATTTTAAATTTATAATTAGCCTTATAAAATATAATTTTTAATTCCTTTACTTATTTTAACTATTTTAAATAAATAAACTTTATATTAAAAAGATTATAATTAAACTTAAAAAGCTAATTTAAATTAACTTCCTTAAAAGAATAGCATTTATAATAATATATATAATTTAAAAATAATTAATATATATAACTATTTTAATTATACTTTATATTAAAGCTAAATAATAAAAAGTTATTATTATTAAAATTACCCTTTTTTTTAATCCTAATAGTATTATTAATTATTAAGAGTTTATAAATTATTAAGGTTAAAATAGTGCCCTAATTTATTTAAACTTAATATCTTTAAGTTTTCTTTTCTTTTACTTAAATATAATTTAAAAAAGGTATAAATTACCTTTAAACTTTAAATAACCTTTTTTCCTTTAAAAAGTTATTTTTTTAGCTTTATAATTTTAATTAAAAGTTAAGCATTTATTTATTATAATAATTAAATATTAACTTCATTTATTAAATTAAGGTTATTAAAAATTTTTAATAATTAATTTTAAATTTATTGTTTTCCTAAAGATAAATTATATTAACTTTATTCTTAAACTATTATTAAAAACTTTCCTTAATTTAAGTTTTCTAAAAAAGCGCTAGTTTTAATTATTTATTTATATATAAGTATATTATAATTAATAATATTATAAATAACCTTAAGGGGAAGCTTTAAAATTATTATAGATAGGTTAAATCTTAAAGGTTAAATATAATATTATAAATCTCTTTAATCTTATAATAGGTATTTAATAAAACTAAAGCTTAAAAAAGGGAAGAATTTCCTTTAAAGCGTATATAGGAAGAATATAAAATATATATAAAATATATATACTTTAAGGGCCTTAAAATACTATAATATAATAATAATTATATAATTAAAATATAATTATATTATATATTAAATATATTAATATTATATAAATAAAAAGAATTATATAAAATTTTAAAACGGTATTTTATTTATATATATTTTAATATTTTATTTATTACTTTATAATAAAGTAAGTATAATACTTTAACTTCCTTTTAAAAAAAGTAAGATTTATTACTTTTAAATAATATATTAAAAATAATTTATATTTATAAAATTATAATAAATATTTATAATAAAGCATTTTTAATTTTTAATAAAAAAAGCTTTTAATTTATTTAATATTAAAAATGCATTTAAAATATATTAATAAAAAATAACTATTTAAAAGGAAGTAAACTATATTTAAACTTATAAATAATTTATTAATTTATTAAATAATTTAAAGGATAAATTTAATTATAAAATAAAGCATTTTTATAAATAGTAATAAAGGGTACTTATATTTATTATATAATATTATTAAAATATAACGCATCTCCCATTTAACCTGGCTACCCAATTGAGCTGGCCACCCTAATAATTTATATAAAACCCTATTATTTCAATTTATAATAACTTTACGAATATCGTTCGTATAATTTAATAATTAATACCTTTAAATCCGTTATTTAAAGGGGAATCCAACGGTATTTTCTACTATTTTTTATAAAATTTATTAAGCGAAATATTAAGCAATACGCTAAAGTAACGTTAAGTAAGGATTATTTTAGCGTTTACTTTAGTATATTGCTTAATAACTTTATAAATATAGGTTGTACAAACTGATAAAGGGTATTATTAAATAGCTCTCTTTATTATAAATCTAATAGTATATTTTATTATTTTATATAACTAATATTTATAAAGTTATTAAATTATTATATAATTAACGTACCGACGTTTCTTATATGTGCTGGGGGGGTGGCCAGCTCAATTGGGTAGCCAGGTTAAGTGGGAGATATGTTATATATATATTAATAAATTTTAATATATTTAATTAATTATTAACTTTTAAATATAATTTTAACGCATCTCCCACTTGACCTGGCCACCCAATTGAGCTGGCCACCCCCCTAGCCCATACAAAAAACGTCAGTGCGCTAATCACGTGATAATTTAATAACTTTACGAATATTGGTCGTATAGAATAATAAAATATACCATTAGATTTGTAATAAAGAGAGCTATTTAACGGTACCCTTTATTAATTCTTACGACTTATATTCGCGGAGTTATTAAGCAATACGCTAAAGTAAGCGCTAAAATGATCCTTGCCTAGCGCCCTTTTAGCGTATTGCTTAATATCTTGCTTAATAAATTTTATAAAAAATAGTAAAAAATACCGCTGGATTCCTTATTAAATAACGGATCTAATGGTATTAATTATTTTATTGTAGGCTTAATATTGGTTAAGTTATTATAGATTGAAACATTGGACTTTTATATAGGTTAAGGGGGTGGCCAGCTCAATTGGGTAGCCAGGTCAAGTGGGAGATGCGTTATTATATATTATATATAAAATAATATTAAAATATAATATTATTTTTAATTTATTTTTATATATTAATATTAAAATTAAATAAGCTTTTATTTTACTTTATAATAAAAATAATATTTTTATTTTAAATATTTTTAATATAAATATTAATTATTATATTAATTTATAAAAAATAATTTAAATATAATTAAAAAATAATTATAAAATAATTTAAAAACATTTTTAAATAATAAAGCTTTTTATACCCCTTTTTAAAACTTCCTTTTACTTTATATATTAAAAATTTTTTTTTTTATATATATAAATAAATATTTTTATAATAATTATTTCTTAATTATATTTTAATTATTTTTAATAGTTAAATTATATTATATATATATTATATATATAGGGGGTTTAAGATTATATTAAATATAGTAAATTAAATTAAATATATTGTAAAAAAAATTCTACCTATAAAAGCTTTAACTACTATTAGGTTAATAAAGGGGGGTAACCCTTAATTTATTACATCACTCGTTTAAGCACTATAGGCTTATAAGAGCTCTTATATAGGATGTTAAATAGCTAAGACTGCTAAGACTCTTTACTTATTGGGACTCCACTTTCGTTGCCAATCTTTTAACTTCTAATAGAAGCGTTGGGGTCTTTAATTCAAGAATAACCAATCGATTCGAAAAAATAAAAGTACTTTTAAATATATATAATTACTATTAAAATAGAAGTAGCTTTACTTAAACTAATTTCGCTTTATATAATAATTAAAAAACTTAAATATAGTTAAGAAATTTAATTAAGCAACCACCTTTTAACCTACTTACTTTATTTACTTTTATACCTTTAATACCTTTACCTTTAACGCCTTTAATGCCTTAACCTTTAACTTTAATACCTTTAATACCTTTAATCTTTAACTTTTATACCTTCTTTTTTAATCGTTAACATTACTTAAGGCAGTAAATATATTAACTATTAATTTAGAATTATTAAAATCCTTTTATACGCTTTTATTCTTATTAAAATTATTAATAATAGCTTAAAAGGCCTCTTTTTAAAGGTGTTATAAAGGTGGTAATATTTTTAACATTTAAATAAAAAGTATAAATGTAGTATACATATATATAAAATAGGAACTACTTTTATTTTAATGGGGATTGTATTAATTTAAAAGTATTATTAAATTTTTTTAAATTAATTAATTATTTTTAAGTTAAAGACCTTAACGCTTTTATTAAAAGTTAAAAGATTAGTAATGAAAGTAAAGTCCTAATAGGTAGGCCATCTATAGCTAACTGTATACTTAATAAAGGTGAAGCCATTAAATATAAAAACTAATAATTAAAGCAAGGGAGGCCTAGGTAGTTATAGGTGCTCCCTTATTAAGAGCTATATTTTAACACACCCCCCCATTAAGAACTTTTATACTTTTTATAAAAGAAGATCTTAAGGAACAACCAAATTGTATAATTGCGGTCTTTATCCTACCCAATAGTATTAGTGCGCTTTGCTGCTTAACTTCAGGTTTATAGATAAGTTGTACGGGAATTAAACTTGTAACTCTTAAGTGTCCTATTTATACGCAGCGATCATTTCCTGATCTAATCATAATTTAAACCGTTTCCGGTTAACTCCGGCGGAACAGACTCTTAATTATTAAAAATAACCACTGCGCTAAAAGGTAGTTATAGGTGCCCCCTTATTAAGGGCTATATTTTAACACTAGGAGTCCTAGATTTTATAAAGCCAGAATGAGTATAAACAGTCCAAAGTTTCTACTACCTTAAAGAAGAGAGAAATCAAGAACTTAGAGACCTTTAGTAGATTATTAGATGAATATGACCAAGTTCGCCCTCTACAAGAGCCCTTATCACTTCTAATATCAATACGATTGCTCATCCAGTTGTACTTGCCTCAACTTTTAAATTTTCATGTGTTACATTGTTAACATCTTACCGGAGGCACTTACCCGAGAGTTTCAAACCCCATTCACCACCTCTTACACGTACGTAAGTAACATGCCTCGCTCTTAGATTCTTTGCCATAGTAAGGGTGTATTACTAGGCTCGGGATTGATAATATTCACAATATAATAATCTGCCTAGTCGGCAAAAGCTGTTCGCCAGCCAATTTCGTCTTGGCCTTGGTGACCTGATTTCAATTGACTACATATATGATTGAGCTGCAAATCCTGAATGCCTAGGTCTCGGTGATCTGTGTCACGAAGCGAGTGTCTCTTGAAAGCCATGAACAGACTGCATTACACCCGTAGCCATAGGCGAACTGAATGTCCCAGTTGAGAGCGTTGTTCCCAGTTTCACTGCACTCGTCCGGCTTAGTTGAACACTTAGTAAAAAGATTGACTCAACGATCAAACATGAAAGTTAAGTCAAAAACAAATGATTGATTTCGCCCGGACTTGAACCGGAGACCTTCAGTGTGTCCAAGGATCACATCTTGTGATGTGATCTTCTTGTTAGACTGACGTGATAACCAACTACACCACGAAACCAAGCGGATTCGCTGATGAAGATAATTGGTACTCTTTGTCTATATATTGACTATGGCTCTAGTGGGGCTAATGTGAAGCTAATTCAGTTCCAAGTGCACACTAAGATAGAATGGAGTGGTTTTCATCTAGTCTAATACCTGCTAATTAGCGAAGCTAGTAGTTAGATTTGAATCATGTTATCGATTCAGAATTACTTGCGTTTGATTTAGACGGATATTACTCTGTGACTCGGCTTAGCTAACTTAGGCTGGTCTGGAATATCTCGAATATCTCGGCCGAAATTATATTTCCCGTAGTTGTAGGTATTCAGAAAACTCGCCATTCACCGTCGTTAGTAAAAATTTCGTGTTTACATCGCTCAGCAATACTTAAATAAGTGTTCGATCATATAGCTTTCCCTAGCAGCCTTCTGAAGTACTTTCCAATCCGGTCATCATCCACTCTGGACCCTTCTTAATACCTACTCAGCGTTAGACTATTTCTTAGTGACACTAATGTAAGTATCTGGTTGGGCGAGCTACCACCACCAACCCATCGACATATAACAAAGTCATCGCTATTCTTCTGGTAGGCGGCATTGGGGTGGGTTCGATGAGGCGAGATGATAGGATGCGTCGCTTTGAATTGTCCGGCCTTGATATCAAAGAATGGATGAAGATTATCAGAAGGTTGAACCAATTTGACGAAGACTGGTATACCGTGGATATCAGGATCGTTCCGGTCCTCCTATATCCTTTATATTCTAAGGGGCACATAATTCGGAGGTGTTGCAGATGGTATGCTAGAAATCATCTGCAGCTCAAGTACGTACACCCATGACTACTCGCCTAATACATACCACCCGGGGTTCTTAAGATAGATGAATTACTGAATAAAAACGTTACCTTGTTGGAGATGCTTGGAGTTATTCCACAAGGTGAACGTGGATGACTTATCCATTTTACTTGGTTATAACACTTCCAACTTGATGGTAAGCAATATTATATGAACGATTGTTGCATTCGTGTTTTTTTTAACCCTACGCTTCCTTAGATATGTAATTCTAGAAGAAACACAATCCCAACGGCTCTACTCCCACCTTGAAGCGCGATCCTCTCATCACCTCCTGAACAGACTAGCTCTAGATTCACATGCTGGGAAGGGCGACCGCCCTTCTGTAACGCTTGCTTCCTCTGCTCGAAATAGCCTGTCTCTGGATTCGGAAATCCTAACAGCCGCGATGCCCCCCAAAACACGCTGTCCAGCTAGCTTCTGGCTCGCTGTCAGGGGCAAAGCACTAGGCCAGAATTTACGCCGAAGGAGTGGAGATAGTTCAAATAGCTAGATATATAAGGAGGAGAAGGCCCCCTTTCTAGTATGAGAGAAGGCAGGAATTAATATCATTGAGCCCTTACCCCTACGTTCTACCTATCTACTACCCAGGTGCTACCTACTTCCTACCAAGCTTCACTCCAGGGACACCGACTCCTAACACTCTCACTTTTTAGACACTTCTGCACTTGACTTGTATATGCCGTCGATGGGCCTATTGTTTCGACCGCTTACCTCGCATCATTTCTAAACTGCACAACGGAGACGAATATGTCCGAGTTTCGAATGCGTAGTTTGACGATATATAGGAACAATTGAGAATATAGTATCCGGAAAGGTATTGACTGATGATGCAACAGTGCCGCGTTCTAACCACTCCATGGCCAGTTCGCCTATCTTTGGAGTCATCGCTAATACATCATGATTGGTGCCACTGTCATGCTTTCTAGGCAGTGGTCGACCTGGCCAGAATAATGGATCAAGTGCTGCAAAACTTGAAATTTACTGCTAGTTTCTTCAGATATTATTGCATTCTAGCTTCAAGCGGACGGGAGGACTTGTGAGGTGAATCAGAGGCGCTTTGGGAGTTATGTTGGACTGTTGCAGGCAAGGCCGATGACGTGCCTATCTGGCTGTAACTTGATAGATATAACCATAGACACGTAGGTGAAAGAAAGTGAATTACACATTATAGCTATCATGTTACACATAGCGCCTCCAAACTCTTCTGATTATCCCAAGCCTCCGTTGTCTAGCTCGTCCATTTACAGCTCATGGTGCCTTCGCGCTTGGAGCTACTACATTTGAGGGTGAGACTCTTCATAGCTGCTACGACTTCCTAACGGATTCGTTAATTATCTGCTTTCTCATTAGTGTGTCAGACTAACTTCGGAGACCTGTTTGCTCATCGCACCGTAGTTGATCTGTCTGAACGTTAGTCATTCCCATACCCTCTCGGACTATTCTGCGTCGATTGTTCGCACGACTCACATTGATCAAGTCCGTTAAAAAGTTGTTGTTGAACTGATTGTGGCCACCTATCGTATTGCCGTTCCCATTATTGTTTCCATTATCATTCCCATTGTTGTTTCCGTTATCGCTTCCGACCTCGGGGTTGTTTTCGTTATCTTCCTCGATTAGCCAGACCTTCGATCTCAAGATAGTCGCACGTAATCTCCCGAGACTTACTATTGCCTATGTCATTCAAGGAATCCTTGAGATCGGGCCATTCGCTGCCTGCCTGTCCAAGAGGGACCGCTGCGGCGGTGGCAGCTAACATCAGAGAGACCACAAGCGCTCTGGCGTACATTCTTGGAATGTGAAACGTTTGCTTTCCACTCAAGTAAGTCAGATTCTAGCTAAAGCTAAGCTTGCAATGATTAAGTTGAATTGATTGAGGATAAACCGCACAAGACAAACGGCGAATAGGGAACGCAAGATCTTTTATACCCATCTAGCAGTACACACACACTGACTGATTCATTTACCATCAATTAAGGATAAGCGTCCATTCGCGGGCCAATCCAAGTTCCATATAGGAAATTAATCTTATTAACCTTCTACTTGTTGGAGGGGATTCCATAAGGGAATAACGCCAAGGTGCGATAGACAACCCAAAAAGGGAATTGCCGGCAAAACGACGCGCTATATCTGCAATGCAGATCATGCATGCACTATTGGCATTACCTCAGAAAAAACTATAGATATGCAATTGCTGTCTCATTTCGCCAACGTAAGAACAAGTAATGAAATTGAAATCTTGGTGCGAGCCTTCTGGGATAACGGGGAGCAACAGCTAGATAGAGTATGTGTATAGTTCATGGGAAGAAATTTGGAAGAAAAAAAGAGAACTGCAATGCTAGTGGGCAAAAGAAGATGGTCAGTATGAGGGTCTAACTCATGACCTTCGCATTACAGGATACAATTCTCATTGTATTACGCTCGAGGTAACCGACTAAGGTCTACAGGAAATATGCAAAACATTTGGCCAACTGTCTTTATATCAAACTCTCCCATTGATGTCCACCCACTTTCACGTTTTCTCATATGGAGCCCATCCACCTATGAGCTATTCCACAACTACTTAACGAAACATGCTAAGAGTTTAGTTTGAGCAAAAGCAGAAATAAGCCTAAAGCCTTTTAGTACATAGTATGCCTAGTATAGATAGTGTCTTTACGCATTGTTAGAAGAGCTGTACAAAGTATACAGTAAGACTCTCATTGCGGCACAAAGTTTAAAAGGTCAGAAGTCTGATGGCATCTAGACTTCTCTGACCGTATACAATGTACCTCTTTATTCCTTCGCCCTGAAACCCCTGACAGGTGGCTTGTTTTAAGATTTCATGTATAAATAAATAACTTTTCTTAATTACCATAGACGGATGCACGTTGTAAAACATAGCAAAGCTAGCAGGAACAGCTTAACAAGTAAACATACTGAACTCCTAACTCATAGCTAGTAAATCATAAGTTGAAAAGGTTTAAAACTCATGGGGTATGTAAAATTTAGGTTGCTTAGCCTTTACAGCTTTCTGATTCCGCTGTTCCCATATTTTACGTTGGGCCGGATAGAGTTCAGTCCGATAGAGGTGACGAGATTCACTCCTCAAACCCCATATATCATAAACGACCCGATGAACAAAATTCGCCTCTTCAAAACGTTCTTGTTTAATCAAAATTTCCTTTGCCACCTCTGCCAGCGACCAGAGAAAATCTTCAGGCTTTATGTGCTTGTGACCAGGCGACCAATATCTGATGGGGTGATGCAAATCGCGAGATACCTCTTCGCAAAATACAATAAACGGTTCTGCGGAAGGTGAGTTAGGGTGGTCCAAGGCCATATATGCTATATAGAGTGATCGACATTCGGGGTAACGTAGTGTTCGATACGCAATTAAATGGTTTGCACAGCGCTCGTAGCTCCTTGAGCTTGCTGGATATGACCAAGAAATATAGTCCCTTTGCAGTTCTAACGCAGCAATCCCCCACGGAGCGCAAGTCGTATTGTAGTTGTAACATTCCACGGAATCGCTCTCATTGAGCCAAAACTTCTCAAATTCTTCTGAGAAATAGTCATAACCCGAGTCGGCAAATCCTCTCGAATCCCATGCAATTAGCGCGTGTATCAACGCCGCTCTCATAATCCCGGCCCATTGATACAGTCTGTCTTTCTTGTGAATTTGCCACTGCTTGAGACCTGGCCGATAGGGCCGATACTTCTTTATCCAGGTGTCGAATAGGCCGGTTTCCCCTGCCCCTACTAGAATGTATGCGACGAGAGACAACAAAATCCTCATAGAAGCTTTCAGTCGAGATGATACTCTGGTAATTACAGCTCGAAGAAACTTACGTGTTGTCCTGGTGGTTTGATTCAATTGCTTCTTGAACATGAGGCTGACAAACCCATGCATGCACAACTTCCCCAGCGTCATCGGCGGCGATGATCCTTTTAGCAAATTCCACCGAGTAAGGACTGATGCGGTCATGGTATGCCTGTAAGCTGCCATATTAGAACGTGTTAGTCCAGTTCCTTTTGCATACTTTCTAGAACCACACTGATTATTGTGGTCACGTTTTCTGTATCTAAAGTTCACATACTGCAGCAACAATTAGCTCTGGAAGACAGTAGAATTATCTACCGAATTCATGTCTTAGAACCGACACGGCAGGTTTTGATACATACCCAGCGAATACCCTTTAGAATCATTGCATTGCCATCCCTATCTCCAAGTTTCCGGAGAATGTCTAAGGCATGGTGACCGTTATTGCGAGACGCCAGTATCTCGAGGTCTCTTAACCCAAGGGCTTGGTCCAGGGACGTTTTTACGGTGCGACTCTGACATATCTCGGATATATCGATTTTAGGGGATGCCGCTTGGGTGATGCTCGACCGCCAACGGCGGACATGAAGTGCAGGAAAAGGAAGCACTTTACGACCAGCCAATATATGCAGAAACACAGTGGAGCACCGTCCCAACGGCGCACCGGCCGAGGTGGATCGAGGGAGCATGGCTACCTGAATGACACCTTCGGCTAGCCACTGTAGGATGCGAGACCACTGTGGCCGTGATGGCGAGGGCGAAGGTGCTGGCTGCCCTCTTACATGATGAGAAGGACACTTGACTACTGATGTAGGCAGATGTAGTTTGTTGGATTTCCGACAGACAGGGGTGTTGGTGAGGGGGAAATGTGATAGGTAATAAGTGAGATAGGAAATGTATTTCTCAGCCACCAGTCACAGCCACCCCCATCCAAGCCAATATTGGGTTGCATCCACGGCTTGATGAAGAGTGCCTAACAAACCTAGGCGGATTTTAGGCTACGACAGTAACGCGACCTTCCCATAACAATAATCGACACATTGTAGAGATGGAGTTTCGCTAGATTGTGACGGTCCTCTCTGTAATTATTCCTTCCTGTTGTGCGGGGGATAACATATCTAAATTCATTCCAATTTGACTACAACACCCGTGGATACGAGACAATATAAAATATATCAATTACCAACTGTGGCGTTCTAATCAAATGAATGTAGGTAACTCGCAGTATAAAATAGTTGAGAAGGCTGACTTCTGTGAGGGGTCAGAGTCTGGCCACCGGACTTACTGTCTTCGTGTCAGCATCTGAACATCAGCCTGTCAACACCATCGCCATCGCCATCGGGCATTAAATCCACCTCGCGTGCTCCAATCTCCTCTCTTCGATGATTAGGCAATGCCTCGACCGTCATTCTGTGGCATACTCCGTCGGAGCCGCCGCAAAGCGCAGGACGAAGGTCAATCAGCGACTCAGCTAGTGGTCATCGCGAGACCTTCGGCAACGCCAATTCCGCCATCAGCCCAAGGGTCCAATCCCGCGAATGCCTCAACAACGCCGCTGAGCACACCACTGCCGTCATCCAGCCAAGCGGCAACCGCTCCTCAGAGTCTGCCTTTGTCAACGTCAGGCAGCCAACATGTCCTCGACGCTCCCCAGGTCATTCAAGCACAGCAGGAACGAGAGACACACGACGCGCCCGAACGACCAAAGCCGTATGCTAGCAATGCCGACCTTTGGAAGGAAGCTATGGGCCAGCTGGACGAATCGGGGAAACACAACATTGAGAGTCTCATAGGTGAACTAGGTGACGAGGCTTCGGATACGAAGAGTCTGGCAGTGACTATCCAGGAGCAATTAAACGTGGCCTTCAAAACGCACCAACACGACACCAAGTTAGAGCGCATAATCGAAAGGTCCCTGGCAGTATTAGGCAAATTCCTTTCAGCTGTTGACGTAGCTGTGAGCTTTGACCCAGTGCACGCTGCTCCACCATGGGCTGTTGTTCGTTCTGTTCTTGTGGTAAGTCTTTACATTTAGCAAGCAGCCTCCCTTGATTTTATTTACGACTAGCTGACAGGCACAGCTTGTGATGTCAAGTCGTGATTTAAAGGATCGGCTTATCGCTGGAATTGCTATCGTGGCTTCACTCCTCGCACAATGCGATACATACCAGCAATTGTACATGGTCCCGGATCTTTCTCTTCGGCCTTCACCGGAGCCCTTGTCCGCAATCAAGACTGTTATTGTTCAGGCATACAATAAGATTCAGCTATTTCTTAGCTTCGCCCTCGAACAACAACGCAGTAAAATCCGGCATGTTGCTGCTGTGTTCAACGTTGCTAATGCGGACAGTTATGTTCATGACCTCTCAAGGTGTGAGAAGGAGCTACACCAAGCCGCAGATATTTGCGAAAGACACTGTAATCTATCTAATCGATCTGCCGTTCAAGAACTACTGTGCCTCAAAGAAGACTTCTCAAAGATCTTTCAAACCCAAATGTATGTTATGAAATGCCTTCAATCCACGAAAGCTGACTTTCTCGCTAGTGACGTACTTATGAACCGTATCGAGAGCAGAGACCAGATTGAATTGCTAGAGTGGATATCTCGTATACCATATGGGCAGCACCACAACAGAGTCAAAGATGCTAGAACAAGCGACACGTGCGAGTGGTTGCTTAGTCACAAGTGGTTTCGTCAATGGGAAAATTCTAACGTGTCAACAATTTTATGGCTTCAAGGTTTTCGTGAGTATAACCCTTTGTGAACCCTGCATCTTCTGAAGCTGACTTTACGTAGCTGGTGCTGGTAAAACATTTCTTGCCTCGAAAGTGATTGATCACAGACAAGCCCTAGTTGAAAGCTCGCCAAACCAGGAAGGCTTTGCATTTTTCTATTGCGATCGGAATGAGGAACAACGCCGACAGCCTCTCTCTGTTCTTCAAAGCTACGTGCGTCAATTGTCGACAACGGCGAAGAATCCCGACCGTATCAGGAAATCACTCCAGGACTGCTGTCAAAAGGCAAGGCAATATGGATCAGATCTCAGCTTTGAGAATTGCAGAGACCAACTGTTAGAGTCAATCAATCTCTACCATAATACCACTCTCGTGCTTGATGCCCTTGATGAGTGTGAGCCGAGTTCACGTGGACGGATCCTTGAGACAATCGAATATCTTATCTCCAAATCAGCAAACAACCTCAAGGTTTTCATCTCCAGCCGCCCCGACCAGGATATCAGAGACAGGTTCCTCAAAACTCCGAACATCGAGATCCAAGCGACCGATAATGAAAAAGACATACAGAGATTTGTCCGCGAGAAAATCACGCAGCATAAAAATTGGCAAGGAATGTCACAGAGCTTACAAAAAGACATAGTCGAGACATTATTCGCAAAGAGTCAGGGAATGTAAGGGACATCCAAATACTTCAGCGGGAGTAGTGCTAATATACAACAGGTTCCAGTGGGCATTCTTACAGATTAACGAGCTACTTGGACTGCAAACGGAACGTGCCATCCGAGATCGATTAGGCGGCCTACCTACTAGTCTTAAGGAGGCCTACGACGAAATCTATGAGAAGATCAAGAATCGCAACGAATACGATAGAGTCCTTGCCGACAATGCTTTCAAATGGGTCGCATGTGCTTGCGAGCCACTCACTAGCGAACTGCTTCTATCCGCGATCCGTTTGGATTCCGATACAACTGAAATCAAATTATTTGATATGATCACCGAATCCCAGCTTCTGGATCTTTGCAACAACCTCCTTGTCATTGACTCCGAGAGAGGAGTCTGGCGGTTCTCCCATTTATCGGTAATCGAATATTTCGAGGTAAATCACTGGGGCCTTCAAGATGCCGAGTGCCATGCTGCTAGCGTTTGTCTAAAGGGCCTTATCAAAATGTATACGAAGGTGGACCAAGACGAGATGGATAATCCGGATTCCAATCTTGACCACGGCTTAGTCCGTACTCAGGAGAAGCGGCCAGTTAGCTATTATCAATCCCGCACCTCCTTCAAGAGTTATTTAAATGACCATTGGATGAACCACATTCAAGCTCAAAAGAAGCAGGGGTGTAATTCTATTTTGGCGCAGCTGTTGAAACCTTTCCTCGGCTCTCCGACAGAGAGCAGTCTGCAATACCGTGCATGGTATAAAGCTATGGATGATCTTGATTACTACGACAGGCCATGGGAAAGTGACGACCTTGCACCAGAAACTACGGTGTTATTTACAATGTGCCGCTTCTCGCTCTACGATGTCCTGCTAGACTGGTGGAAGGATGCAGAATTTGATATCTCGATGACAACTGAGAGTGGGTACAATCTTCTTACACTCGCCGCCATTGGTGGATGCAAACAAATCTGTGAACAACTAATAAAGCGAGGTATGGAAGTGAATCAGCAACTTCAACACAAGCATTTTGGCAGTGCACTTGCTGCTGCCGCATTTTGGGGACATACCGAGATCGTCAGATTCTTGGTCAAGGAAGCTGGGGCAGACGTGAATATGCAGCTACAACGTGGCAGTTATGGCAGTGCACTTGCTGCTGCTGCACATTGGGGACGCATAGAAATCGTCGAATTCTTGGTGGAAGCGGGGGCGGACGTGAACATGCAATTAAGGGGTAGATATGGCAATGCACTTGCTGCTGCTGCATATGGGGAAGAGACCGAAATCGTCAAATTCTTAGTGGAAGCAGGGGCAGACGTAAATATGCAATTAGGGTGCGAATATGGCAGTGCACTTGCTGCTGCTGCATATGGGGCAGAGACCGAAATCGTCGAATTCTTGGTGGAAGCAGGGGCAGACGTGAATATGCAATTAGGGGGCAGATATGGCAGTGCACTTGCTGCTGCTGCATATGGGGGAGAGACCGAAACCGTTAAATTCTTGGTGAAAGCAGGGGCAGACGTGAATATGCAATTAGGGTGCGAATATGGCAGTGCACTTGCTGCTGCTGCATATGGGGGAGAGACCGAAATCGTCAAATTCTTGGTGGAAGCAGGGGCAGACGTAAATATGCAATTAGGGGGCAGATATGGCAGTGCACTTGCTGCTGCTGCATATTGGGGAGAGACCGACACTGTCGAATTCTTAGTGCATGAAGCTGGGGCAGACGTGAATATGCAATTATGGGGCAGATATGGTGCACTTGCTGCTGCCACTGTAGGTACTCGCACAGTTACGGCAACAACAGACTTGCTGCCCAAAGCCGGGGCCGATGCAAACATGCAATTCTTGAATGGGAGGTACGGCAATGCCCTCATATATGCAATTGCGAGGGATCGAGATGGTCCTCTCAGACTTCTAATTGGTAACGGAAAAGCGGATGTCAATCAGCAAATCCGATATGGGGGACTTGGTAGTGTGTTGGCTGCCGCAGCATACTTTGGTGCGACAGAGTGTGCAAGGCTTCTGATGGAGGCTGGCGCAAAAGTTGATTTGAGAATCAAGAACGGAGTATTCAGGACGGCCATTCAGGCTTCTCGGGTGTATATTCCCAGAGCTTGGAAACCTAAGCGTCGATGGTGGGACGATAGATATAGATTATGGGAAAGTGATAGAGCTGAGGTAGCAGAGTTGTTACGACATCATAGTGCGATCAGAAAAAGGGGACATAGTGCGCTTCGACGAAGAAGGATGATATACAGATATAGGTTTAGGTAGACAAAGTAGACGAATTGGAACCATGTATAGTATTTACTTCGTTACAAATTTCTAGAGTTTCATATCTCGAAGCCCGCCTATAGCAATAGGGTCAGCGATTGAATACATCACAACAACATTAGCTCCGATATTGTTCATGCGCCTGGAATCACTTTCTGTGTTTCCGCCTAGAATACGTCTAAACTGGATACTCAGAGTCCTAAAGCTATCCTCTTATCGTAAGCCTGAACCACATCCAGGCAACGCCCAGGTGTACGATCCAGGCATGCTTCTCGAACCAACCAAGGCCAGTTTGAGTCATATTCTAGGTCTGCCCTTTGCGCGGTAATAGCTCTTGCGTGTTGCTATTGCTCTGTTCAATGGTGAGGGGTTTGTTTATATGGGCTTTGTTACATGCCGGGCGTCCTGGGGGCATGTGAACAGGATGAGCTGAGAGTTAATAAACGTTTCTCGAAATTGAGAACGGATAACCCGTACCGCTATGCAGGAATCAGATGAACCGACTTCTGTAATACTTTGGAGTTCTGCAACTATAATCTGCAACTATAATCTCTACCTAAAACTGTGACCGTAAAGGACGACGCAAGATAGCTGTTTTGCTATCTACCCTTCGTAATGATTTCCAAGGGGAATAGGGGTTAGTGACTAAATCGCCGTATAGTGGGTCTTCTGTTGCAGTATTTGAGCAAGAGATTGCTGGATCACTTGGTATAGTTCTAATTAAAAGCGTATGATACATCTATGTCTGGGAATAGGCATGGCAAACAAATTAATACTCGATTATTGTCCTCCGCTTGAGCCTAAAGCCGAGCCTAAAGAGATTATGTCCGAAGTAGGTGTGAATTCTATCACAATGGGTTTTACGACGGACTTATCTAATCGGTCATACGGCAGCAGAGAAGTGGGTGTAAATAGTTGTCGATTACTATACTACTTCAGAGATATAATTAGTGTCGGGGATCCAATGAGGTGGTCTGCATATTCTCACACCATGCAAGGTGATTGAAGATCACCGTTGGCTCCACTTCGTCGTGATCTTCCGAGTTGAAGGGCTGATCTACAGCGCTATGTGGTGGTCACGATCCTCTCGCCACGTGTAACGGATTGTAGATCAGCGGTATTGAATTAGAGAGTATTGCCATAGAGCCTCTTAGAATAGATTGACTCTCTAGGTCATCCACGTGGATACCCTCTTTCCCGTCCCGAGGAAGACCTAAGTGCAGCATGTGCATTAGAGGAAACGTCGAGAATATCTATATCCGGATTTATTCAAGGTAATATATATTTCAATAAATTATTGAGGAACTGAACCCCCGGTTATCGATCCGGCACAGATCGGCCCGCGGCAGTCCCACCTGTTGATCTCTGACTTTAGGGTTCTTTCAGTGATGCGCTGTTAATCTCTGGGGCAATGATGAGCACTCGAGCTCCATATTGAAGCTCACTACAATCTTGCCGGGAGACCAATGCTCTTTCAGCAGCTGATACTACGTGAAGCAGCTATCAAGCAGGCTCTATGCTCCTTCTGTACGATGGATGCATAGCCGCAGCATGGGGCTAAATGATACCACCGATGCATACATTGCATAAGAAGGATCAACATATACCGGTCCCCATTGAATGTTAGTCTAGAACATGAGGCTCTGTAGTGTGATTATCCATAACCAACGTCAAGGTAATAGGTCGTTATCGCTAGTCATGATATCATTAGAGGTGGAATTAACAACCCCCTCCATGCTTACCTAATTACACTCGAGAGTATCTCTTGCAAAACCAGGAGGGGATTAGTCACCTATGAGACATTTAGATCGGAATTGGCCAAGGGGGATGGCTCAATAGCCGCTTTAATATGCAGGAGGACAGTCAATGCGATCTTCAACTTCAATGATCCTCGAGATCAGGAAGCTACGAACCTGCCTCATTGATCGAATCCAACCATAAATTTCTACTGTATGGATGAGCGACTTTTTTGGTTCGTGACTGCTGTGACTCGTAGCACTGAGCATGTTACGTAGCATAGCTACGTTTGACGTGTGGCTTTCTTAATATTCTCGTAAGCAGCTCGGAAATAACTGGAAACCCATACACAGCCCTCACGCTTGAGCAACTGCTGGTCAGCTGAGAGAAACGAATACGACGTAATGAACCACTCATTAATCTATTAATCTGACCTTGCCAAGGTATGATGATAGGATGCTGTATGTTAAATGCAGTAAGCCGTAAGCTGTGAGCTTTGAGTTGGTTTGGGCAGGTAATACGTTTAAATCCATCATCCCACCTTGGGCGCAGTTACGAGAATCACTGTTCGCTTACCGCAGTCCTAGATCCTGTACCGAACTTGGCGTGAATAATAAACAGAAATTGGGTAATTGGATATCAGAACTTAGTAATAATGAAACATTGTCTCGCACCCCTAACCCTGTTATATTGTTGCGATAGATATTCCCCGCAGCGCTTACACTACGATCTATAATACGGCACGATGCACGTTTATGTTTATGTGTATACTACATACCTACTGCTTTAAATAAGCACACTTTGACAAAGTCAGCTAGAAACCGCGATCGTTTGCTTTAGGAAGTGTGAGTGCTACAAACCGGGGATGGCATGCCTACACAAAGTGAACAAGTCAATTACCTAGATAGATAGCCACGTCAGTGACACGAGGCGGCAACGGGGCAAGCTCGTGGAGACCTTCCTCTCAAGTCGTAGCAGCTTTGCAAAAGACCCACGGGCCGACTGGGCGCCAAGGCAAAGGGATACGGAATATTGTACAGCTCGAAATGTGCTGTAACGGCAATGATGACGAGGGAGAGGTTGAAGCACAATTCAATCTCCGCGCCAGCGTCTTGGAGCAGTGGACGAGGCCCCATCGACAAGCTTGGCCTAGCAGGAAGATTATAGGGACTTGCATAGGTAGGTAAGAGTAGCCTATTGATTGATCATGAACGGCCCAACTGACGCTAAGGGGGAGGCAATTCGATGTAGTAGCTCGGTAGTGTATTCTTAAATGGTCTAGTCCATAGCCCTGCATATCATCAGAGCCGACACCAAAATGCATGATGTCGTGAAGCGTCAAAATCCTTGAAGATAATCTGGGGGCTAAGGAAGTCTGCTTTCAGCGGAAAATCGCCGAACTGCAAGTAAGCTCGTCGGCGCGGTAGTGCGATGCCGGTGCCAAGCCAGGGCCAAGAATCAGGGGAAATCAAGACTAGACTTCAAGAGGCAAGAGGCTGGCCGTCTTGTATATATAGCAGAGGTCGATAAGCTTCTGTCTACACTTGCCAAGCCCTTGGTTCCATCCTGGCCATCTTATCTGTTGCGTCTGGCGTGCGCACGCAGACACACGATGCCGGCGTCTGACTGGACTGGTACTAGGGCTGCGATGCTGTGCGATGACCAACCCAGAGCTGAGCCAGGGTATCCCAGGGCCCCTCACACCCCTCTTTCGACATGCCATTCTCGCCATTCCTAGGGACGGCATCGTATGTGGCAGCTGGGAATGGCATCGCATGGGCGTCGCACGGTGATTGGTTGCCACTCATGCTTGGGCGCTGCCGGCGTAGTCCGGATTTGTAGTTCAGGCCAGTACCGATCACTGAACCCCTGAAGGCGTCCTTCTAAGTACGTGTAGGCACGCAGACCTGGAGAAGCAAATGAGCTATTGCAGAGTCCCTAGCCGTTGGCATCCAGCTTGGCTAGTGCGCCGAGTGTATATCAAGTTCGCCGCTATCAAAGTATCAACGGAATTCTGATGCAGTCCAGGGAGTCAGATAAGTTAGCCGGCGCTAGGGCATCGAGCAACAGGTCCTGGCGAGGAAAAGGTCGTGGAGGAACGTACCATTATGGAAGTGATTGCCAGCCGTGGTCAGGCTTGGGCTTATCAACTTCCCTTTTCACACAGGCATTCATCCACCTACCAAAAGGCACCTAGCAGATATCCCCAGTTATCCTTCGAAGGTTATGCCTTGCTTCGCTCGCCAGGCATTGTGCGCTGCTTCTATCCCTTTACAACCGCACTTATCGTCTTTGCCGCCGTAGTGCGCCAAGATGCGATGTCGACCCCGAAGAGGGGGCTTGATATCTGACAAGTGCTCTCAGTCAGTTGCCGGCTCTGATTGGTCTCGTCTGCGTATTCAGGTTCCCGTTGCCGTGCCACAACTTTCGATGGTAGAGAAGGTTGCAGCTAGGGAACGTGAATTAGGCAGGTCGCTGCATCGCTTCGTCTTCTGTCCATCGCGCTGGCCGACCTAGTGCTACCATGGGTCCATCACGGGTGCTGGGAGCTTCCTCCAAGGCGTTCTGAGCTAGAAGCGCAGGAGGATAGGTACGCGAGTTCGTGTCGCCGTCTTTTAGTATAAAGATGCGAGTTGATCCTCCCCTGAACCGGTGGTTTCTTTTCTGTGTCACCATCCCATTCACCTCCTCCAGTCCTCTCAACCCAAGGCAGACAAACACCATGCAGTTCAAGGCTCTGATTGCTTCGGCCTTCCTGGCTACGGCCAGCGCCTCCTGGTCATTCAACACCACCCGCCTCTGCGGTACTCCCGAGCCCACTCAGCAGCAGATGCGCGAGTCTCTTGCCATGCTTGAGATCGAGCGTATTGCCCTCGCCAAGGGTCATGTCAAGCGTCAAACTAGTATCAACGTCAAGACCTACTTCCATGTCGTTGCCTCGTCCAACTCCCTCAGCGGTGGCTACCTTACAGTATGATCGCTGCCTCCTGCACAGTTAATCGATGAGGAAGACTAACATGTCTTACAGCAAGCCATGTTGAACGACCAACTTTCGGTCATGAACAACGCTTACGGTCCCCACGGCATTAGCTTCAGCCTTGTCGGCAGTGACTGGACCGTTAACGCCAACTGGGCTGCCGATGGCAATGAGCAGGCCATGAAGAAGGCTCTCCGAAAGGGTACATACTCTGACCTCAACATCTACTTCCTTGGCAACCTTGGAGGTGGTCTCCTCGGATACTGCTATTTCCCCACATCCAGCCACTCCACCGGCTCAACCAACTTCATCCTCGATGGCTGCACCATTCTCGGCCAGTCCGTTCCCGGTGGTAACGCCGCTCCCTACAACTTGGGAGGCACTGCCACCCACGAGATTGGTCACTGGATGAACCTCTACCACACCTTCCAGGGTGGTTGCGCCGCTCCCGGCGACTCTGTCGACGACACTCCGCCCGAGGCGTCGGCTGCTTCTGGCTGCCCTACCGGCCGTGACACCTGCAGCGGTGGCGGCCCTGACCCCATCCACAACTACATGGACTACACCGATGAGTAAGCCTCTTTATCCATACCTGGTGTGAATTGACAAGATTGATACTGACTGATTCTCTAGTGCATGCTACACCGAGTTCACCTCCGGCCAGCAGGCCCGCATGTACAGCGCCTGGTCCGCTTACCGTAGTTAAACAACGGTCTTGTCAAATGTGTAAAACTGCATTGGATGGCGTCCGCGCAATGATTGGGTTAAGAGAATTGGTGCGATGGATTATCGTGTACATAAGCCAGCCAACTTAATGAAGGAATGAATTGATGGATGAATGCATCATTCTCTGAATCTTTATCGCTGTGAAATTCATGCATAATAATGCCTTGAGCGACTAGGTGTGTCTCGCTCACCGTTGCTGACTTGGCTCGGAATCGACGAGAGGTGATTATGAGGTTCCCACCACGAGCGAAAATGTGTCAGGATCTGGAGATAAAAAGAACTTGCACAAACTGCCGTCTTATATACTCACAAGCTAGACCCGTAGCTGGTCCACTTACTGTTAGATATGAGAACCTTGATGGTTTGATTGCCCAGACTGTTAAGACATATGCCACTTCTTTAGCCGACTCTTCCGCAGAACACTTGGCATATGATGGATCTTAAAGGGCATACTCTTCCCTGTTCCGCGGCCCAATCTACCAGCCAAGAAAAGAATAATGCACGTGCATGGTTCATCTCAAAGCGAGGGATGTGTGTTGCCTCAATCGACACTGTTGGTCTCCGATATCAGTGGATGGCATCTGGTAGGTCCCAACATAGCCCCTGATGCTTGCGAGCAACATAGTTGTGCGTCTGCTCTTTTCATGTAATTACCATAGTAAGAGTATGATACACTGAATATAGGTATCTGCCTACCTAGGTGCCTACCATGTAGGTATTGATTGCTCTGTTTGCGATATTGGCCTGTGATGTCAACAAACTTGCCGCCCCAACAACGCAAACCACCACCAGTAACTGCACTAGTACCTACTTGATGGTTACAAGTGTGTATGTAGTATGAAGAGATCTTAATGTACCTAGGTATTCAATGAGATTCCCACCGCAGTCCACACTTCTCCTCTGCCTATCTACCTTCACCAGAGAATTGAGGTTCGCCACCAACCAAGCCGTTCACCAAGCCGTTCCATAGTCGCACTACGCCTTCGAAATAACCATTGCTAATCTGACTCAGTCTAACAGACACGGTACAATGCGGCTTTCTCTCCCTTTCCTCACTTCCTCTGCCATCCTATCCGGCGTTGCAAGCGCTGGTTGGCGGGAGGAGTGCAACTTCGGCGGCAACGCCCAGTTCAACATCATCCACGCTAGGCCCTACCTCAGCACTCTATGTCCTTCTTCTTCAGGCCGCCAGATCTGCACCATGCTCGACCTCAGCTACTGCATCATGAACTCACTCGGCCATCTGACCGCTACGATCAAGTAGGCCTCTTCTAGTAGTTCCCTGCGCAGAACGAGTTGTTACTGACAGATAGCACTAGTGGACACTTTGAGCGAAGCTGCGAGAATTGCCACCTCACCGGCCGCAATAACACGGTTCTTTCTTGCAGTTGCCGCATGTTCGGCAAGAACGCACCGTTTCAGAACGCCGAGATCGACCTAGGTATATTTCGCACAGCCAGCACCTTGCCTTTTCTTACCTGCTCAACGCGAATTCACTGACACGTTCTCCAACAGAGGACATCATTGAGAACAGAGATGGCCGACTAGCTTGCTGGGATAGCAAGCCTCATACATGCCCAGGTTTCATCTGAGCTTCGCTCTATCATGTTGAGGGTTCGAGAGTTGGAATTGCAGATTTAAACAATTGAAATGATACAAGGTTGCAGGCTCTAGAAGAGTAGTGCTTGTTATCTCGCTCGCATAGTCAATGAGGCCGAACACCGAAAAAGGCGACTTTGCAATCAGAAATATGCTGGTTCTAGACCATGCCGAATTAATATTCATCCACAATACACGTAAACTTTTACACTGCGCGCATGGTGTTCCCGATACACACTTTGCAGTATGAGGTCATACTGAAGTTGCTAATTATGTCGCTTGGCGTTCACGATGATCTTGGTAAGGTGTTGTTTGATCTCCGAATTACCCCGACATAGACGAGAATAGACCCCGCCATTGCCCCTCATACCATTCATGGAGCAACTGGGTAATTTACCACCAATGATGCAGCAATTGAGAAAACTCCTGATATCATAGATTATAAGTAGATATATCTATGCTGCCAGTTATTAGTATCATGGAGTGTTCTCCCCAATCGTCTCAAGAGGCGTCGGCGCGCCATGCCAAGATAATGGTATACCGACTTGTTTTGATTGTTACTGTCTCATGAGGCAGTTGGAGACAACAAAAAGTGCGCCTCTCTTCAAGGATGAAATCAGTACTTATGCCAGCTGGCATAGCCGGCAGCTACCTCAGCCTATCTGATGCGAAGTCCCTTTGGTCGAGGAGTCCTGCGACATACGGCCCCGATGACTCAGACAGTTATATCCTTAAAACCGGCTATCCTGTTGGAAATGGGAAGCTCGGAAGTTAGAAATATTATGCCATTCTGCTTTTGCTATTACTAAGGTCACGTTTAGTCATTTCATTCGGACAGCCGGCTTCTGAGAAGTTAAGTCTCAATGTAGACTCATTGTGGTCTGGAGGGCCTTTCGAGAATTCCGTACGCTAGATGGATCACGCACTTCACACAACTTTCGACTAACTGCGCATATGATAGAGCTACGCTGGCGGAAATCCCACGGAACCAAAATATGCAGCACTTCAAGAGATTCGGGCAGCTATCTTCCAAAATGGAACCGGTGGTACGGAGTTCTCAAAACGACGACGATTAAGAGGGGTATTATTGACAATGAACGCAGACCTGGCTCCCCTCCTTGGCACAGGAATGAACTACGGCTCAAACCGAGTCCTCGGCAACGTGACTATCACAATCCCCGGAATTGAGTCTTATGACAACTACAAGAGAAGCCTTGACCTTAAGACGGGTATACATGCGACACAATTCACTTCCAATGAAGCGAATTTCACGACCGCGCTTTTCTGTTCATATCCTGACCACGTATGCGTTTATCATATCGAGTCAACGAGCGCTCTTCCCGATATCACAGTTAGCTTTGAAAACATGCTTACCTCTCAGGACCTCGTGACAACCACTTGTAGTGCCGACTCAGTCCAACTTACGGGGTACACGCGAGCGGGCTCGCCACAGAGTATGAAATATAGCGCAATCGCAAGAGCTTTAGGTAATGCTACGATGAGCAGCTGCTCTGATTTCGGCAGCCTTATTATTCGATCCGCGGAGACACAGAAATCGCAGACATTTGTTATCGCGGCAGACACGAACTACGACCAGAAGAAAGGCACGAAGGAAGCTAGCTACTCATTCCGAGGGGAAGACCCAGTTCCCGTTGTTTCCAAGATTGCCTCCCAGGCGGTATCCAAGGAGTACAAAACCCTGCTTGCTAGACACTTACAGGACTATCAACAGCTAGAAGGGGCTTTTAGCTTAGAGTTGCCTGATCCGAACAATTCCTCCAAACTCGAGACGGCAGTCGTGTTTTCCAATTACGATTGGACGGGCTCAGGGGACCCCTTCCTAGAGTCTCTGCTATTCGATTACTCTCGCCACTTACTCATTTCATCGTCCCGGGATAACTCGTTGCCAGCTAACCTTCAGGGTCGATGGACCGAACGTCTCGAATCTGCCTGGGGTGCTGATTATCACGCCAATATCAACTTACAGATGAACTACTGGGCCGCTGAGCAGACCGGGCTGGGGGATACAGAAGGGGCCCTCTGGGACTACATGGAAGATACGTGGGTTCCCCGTGGGACCGAAACGGCCAGACTTCTCTACAATGCTAGTGGCTGGGTTGTACATAATGAGATGAATATCTTTGGTCATACAGCAATGAAGGAGGATGCTTTATGGGCGAATTGTAAGTTATTTTAGACATCCTTGGGAAGAGATACCCGCGCTAATAGATATCCCAGACCCAGCTGCTGCCGCGTGGATGATGCAGCACGTATGGGATCACTTCGACTACACCCAAGACGTCAACTGGTTACGCAACCAGGGCTACCCGCTTTTGAAAGGTGTCGCTCAATTCTGGGTATCGCAGCTTCAAGAAGATCTCTTCTTCAACGACGGGACACTCGTAGTGAATCCATGCAATAGCCCTGAGACGGGCCCGACAACATTCGGATACACGCATTACCAGCAGCTCATCCACCAGGTATTCGACAACGTGCTCTCCAGCGCCGCCATCATCGGCGAAGAGGACAAGGGTTTCCTCGACAGTGTTAGTTCTAGTCTCGCGAGACTGGATACTGGGGTCCATTTCACGAGCTGGGGCGGGATAAAAGAATGGAAAATGCCGGATTCCTACGGTTATGATGGCAAGAGCACTCACCGACACCTGTCGCACCTTGTAGGGTGGTATCCGGGTTATTCGGTATCGTCGTATACCGGCGGTTATAGCAATTCCACCATTCAAGACGCCGTCAGGGAGACGTTGATAGCACGTGGCTTGGGAAATGGCGCGGATGCGAATGCAGGGTGGGAAAAGGTCTGGCGCGCCGCGTGTTGGGCACGACTGAATGATACGGATATGGCGTACAAGGAACTGCGCTACGCTATCGATACCAATTTCGCTAATAATGGCTTTAGCATGTATAATGCGCAGAATCAACCCTTCCAGATTGATGCCAACTTTGGCCTCGCTGGTGCTGTCCTGAGTATGTTGGTTGTTGACTTGCCGGTGGCGTATGGGGCACAGAAAGAGAGGACTGTGGTGCTTGGGCCTGCTATCCCTGCTGCATGGGGCCATGGAAGTTTGTCTGGGCTTAGGATCCGGGGAGGAGTGTTTGTTGATTTCAAGTGGGATGGTGATGGACTCGTGACGAGCGCAACGCCTACTGCTTCTGCGAGGACGAGCGGTAGAATAGTAATTGTTTTTGTCAACGTCAGAGGTGATAGGCTAGCAAGGATCTAATGTCCCTTCCGTCTGTAAATGAGGCGGTTGGTTTGCGAAACGAATTAAGGGATACAATGAAAGGACATTGTTTGTTATATTGAGCCTATTTTCGCACATTTACGTTCTTGTTTTTTTTTTTTTTTTTTTCCTTTTCCACTTCATAATTCTCTCTACGTAATCCGCTGTATGTTCTCGCACTAGCTGGGTCCAAAAATGGGGAAACGAGAATTCTGGATGAAGGGGATCTTCCCACCATGTCATAAGTAAGCAATATTCAAGAACTCTGATAGCCCTATGACTTGCAGGCTCCATGTTCCTCCTGGACCTTGCCGTTCAGATGGCCGTTTTGCTAACATGGGTACTATTTTAGGGAATATGGAATAGGAAGCCTACCTCCCATTACACAAATCTCTAGGCAGCTAGGAAAGGCATTTCAGGTTGCTCTCAAGGACATACGATGCCACACCTATCTGAGGATGAGGAAAACCCAAGTCAAAGTCAGAAACAAGAAACAGCTAAAAGAGCGGACCACCGATCGAAGAATCAGCTACATCAAATGGAAGGCCAGATATGCCCAGCGCATGCTCAGGCGACAGGTCACATTCAAGAAGTTTAGTAGCCTCCCTACTGAAATTCGTTTGAAGATATGGGAGCAGTATGTCCTCACTCCTCGCATCATCAAGGTTGTTTACGACCTAGAGTTTAGGTTGTGTGGCCACGGGAACACCTTAAAGATAGATGGAGTTAAGCGAGGACAGGTTTGCCCTCTGCTGCTAGTCAACCGCGAAAGCCGGTACGCCGCACTGAGAGAGCCGTTACTCCTCTTTAGCTTCTCCCAAACTGGGGAATATTCTCTGCACTTTGCCATCAGGCCTCATGACATCATGTTCTTTCATCACAACGTGGTTCCTTGCCCATGGATGTCCATGCAAGGCGACACATCGAAGATCGCCAACATCATGTTTCATTGGGAGTTTATGCCTACTGGGGATCCCGACGATTTAGAAGAACACTTCATGGACATCTTGGGGAAGGGCGTTTACCTTATCAATCAATTTCGGGCCTGGGATAGTTTGCAGAACTTGTACTTCCTTGTCGAAAACTCGCGCGCTTGCTTGCACCGGCGTTTTGGGTGGGATGACTTGCATGAAGCTGCGTCGCATCAGTTCTCGAAGCATAACCTGTGGATGACGTTTCCTGAGCGGTTTCGCCAGAGTCATGCAACATTACTAACCCCCCTCTCCTTTTGTAATCCCCCAAAGTTGTTGAAATTACGTGAAGTGTGGAAGACCGTCAGCATAAAGTGAGAGAAGATCATGTTCCTCCTGATTGCCGTGGAGCTTCCGCGGCCGAGAGCGTTCTTTTTTGTTTTCTTAGACAATTTAAAATACACCTCTAGGAAAGTACAAATGTTGCATTTAAGTCACTGCTACATCAAAAGGGGCCCATTGCAACATTGTTATCTCGTTCAAAATGAATATTCACCGCACTTCTTGGCTTTAGACAAGCGTCCCAAAAGCCCGTAGGTTGTTGACGTTGCAGAATCCTGCTTGTGATACTGTTGGAAAGCGAGGGAGATGTAACCGAAACTCCTCAAGAGACTATTTTGAAGCGATTTTTAATCAATCGGCAGTTGCCTATTTTAAAGCTCATTGATATTTCAGGATTTTTCATATGTTAAGGACCTACAGGTGAATAATATTTTCTATCCCGTAGGTACTTGGATGTAGAGTGTGGCTGGGGACAGAGGCACTACCTAATCTGATTGAGCCGCCTTGTGGCTAGTGGTCTTCAGGATGGGTTTACAGATGTAAATCATGAGGGAAAAGGAGAAAAAGGGAGAGGCAAAAGAAACCAGAATACTCATTTCATTCAAACCTTCATTGATTCTGCAATTGTAAACACCTCAGTAGTTGGTAATAGCGTACGTGATGAATAGAGTGATGGGATAGCAAATAGTAAGCTGAGAGCAAGCTAATAAAGGACTTCTTAATTCATGTCAAGGGGAATAGATAGCAAATGATAAGCCCAGTGTCTTATTCTCCTCTCGTATATTAAGTTCAGGGGCGCGGGGCAAATTCTTTTTGTCGCTGGAAGGTTTTAACTTCATCAAGACTAATCTTCTAAGTGCATCCATGCGTCCGTCCCCGACGTTCCAATCATGTATCATAATGACTGAGTGCAAAGGAACCCCAGTGAAATCTTAATGATAACCCTCATACACAAAGCACTTGAGTTTGGTTGGATCAATGGTGAGCCGACGCTAACGTCTATATGCGAATTTAACCATCTGTCTCATTTTCGCTTTAGAAGATTACGATGTATGAGCTACGCATGTTGGACGCGCTTTATGTGTATAAGATTCGGGCTTCGGAGGCTTATTGATACCTCGGAAACCCAGAGATTATAAATTTCAATCGAAATATACACTGTATAATGCAGAATTACAATGGTACTTCAGTGGAAATGTATCTACTGTTTTTCTAAATCGCGAGGGGGACTCGCGCGCATCTTACCATGAGTAAGCCAAATATAGGCGCATTGGTGCTGTCAAGCAAGGAGAGAGTATATTGAAAGCCTTTCCTTTTTTGACCAGACGGGCATTATTCCCCGTTAAAATCAGCTGTTCCTAGAATGGGATTCAAGCTACGGAAATTGAGGAGGGAAATTAAGATCGTGAGTCGTGATCAGGATGAAGACCCCAATCTTACTATGTAAGCAACTTCCACAGTATGCAGCAATAACCGTAAACCCTCGGAATGAATCGTGCCGTCACCCGAGATCTACCCCGCCTAATCTCTCTTAGTTCTGAGATCAGGTGTGGGTGAATCTGGTTCTCGTTAGGAATATGCGGAGTGAGATACACTTACCAACAACCCGTAAAGCTCCACCATTGGTGAAACGGAGCCGTTGCCTCACTTATATGCTACTCGCACATTCGGGAAAAAGAAACCCCAGAAGGTTTCCGTGTATCAACGCCTAAGGGCTAAGTAAAGGCAAGCGGCGCTGAATTCTGCACATTGCAGTATCTCGGTTTTGATTACTCGGATTCCTAACTCTTCGGAGACTGATAAGGATCTACCTCGCCGTGATTTGATTTTTCCCCTCCTGGAAGGGGTTGCGTTGGGTCTTCTGCGCCCGCAAACCCGCAAATAATCCTTCGGGCGTGCATCGTCAAAGGTGGGAGGGAGGGGGAACAGTGGGCTGATTTCCACTTTAAAGGCCACTTAAAGCAACCACAGACTCATAATCCATCCACAAACCACGCGACGAGCGCTCTCAATTCGAAAGGCCAGCGTAGGCCAGCGAGTGAGCATTGACGATGAGCGGTTTTCTTAATGAAAGGGAAAAAAACGGGGACTTGGGAGCACTTTCAAATTCCTTCATCTCCAGGAAACCCACTCGCAGTACAACCACCCACAAAAGGCGAGTCAGGCAAGCGGCGGCTGTTTGTGGTCTGTCATTCTTTGACACCCGTATGTAGGCGGTGCCGACACATTGGTAAAACCTAAGTAAGGCCCGAGGATGGGTGAAAACCGGGTACGATGTGAGAAAAGTAGAAAAAATTTTAATGACTTTTACCACTCGAGCCACTTCTCTCGACCAGAGCATTAATATCCAGAGGGGAAAAGATAGATAAGACCAAAGAATTTAGGCCGGGCGTAAGGCTTTAGTAATCCCCTATGACATCACGGGCGCCAGGTTTTGGTGTTGGCACGGCACTTAGCGGCGCCGCTGAAATATGCCGGCTCGTGGACCCCCGTGGATCTCGGGTGGCCCTTGGCCTTTGGACCCTTGGTGCTGATGGGAGCCCATGATGACATGGGATAATACAGGCAGATGGAAACCGTTACATGTGCGACTTCGTACTATTGTTGTCTGGGTATGCGATGCTGAGGGTATCTAAGGCATCGAGAAGGCAGACACGTGATAGACAGGCTCTTTTCTCTTGCAGAGCATAACGGGAAACTGATCCACGTGATGTGTGTAAGTATACATTGAGGTATGTACTTAGATACGGTACCTGTGTTTCTGAAATACTGACTTCCACTGACTGACCTACCTAACTTACAGTGGATAATAGCGTATCTAGGCAGGCGGTGATGATGCATGCCATGCCCCTTAGGGCATTTTAGATGCCGCTTTTGGCAATATGCTACGAATGCACTGTAGGTAGGTACCTAGCGTACACCTGTTGAGTAGCGGTAACGACGCTCGAGCCTTCGCTCGCCTCGCTCACCTTGGTTGACCGAATCCTGACCCCCAATTCCGACCCGACTATCCACATCTTCATCCTCCCTCAATTACTGTCGTGTATTTGCGAGAGAACGGGGGCCTTCGGTTAAAAGTATATCCAGCCATCCCGAACATGGCTCGGACGAGCGCTTGCGAGACAGGAACCCGAGACGAGATGAACAGCAACTCCATTGACCAAGGCAGACACCAAGGGGGTTGCAAGAACAGACAAGAACATAGACACCTTACTGTAATAAACGCAACACGAAACGCGATATGTCACTGAACTCTACCGTATCTGACGATCACAATGGTACCCTTCCACACACATAAACGCGCGGTATACTTCATGGAGGTATTCCGGCCGGCCGCGCCCTCGGCCCAGCAGAGCCCAGGAACACTTGGTTGCCGGTCATTGCAGGTCGTTGCAGTATCGAGCCTAGAGACCTGTATGTGTGTGCTAACCTAGTCAGGGATCTAATGCCATCGTTGGAACTGATCTGAACTGGCTTCGAACTGGCTCAGCCGCCACCCGGGATATTCCTTAGCCGACCTCGCCCGACGCCTACTCACATGCTGTACTAGTCGTCCGTACCGTTCACGACATGCCAAGCGCCACGGCGTGCCCACACCTCCGCCGTCTCTACACGTACAAGCGCTGACCGAGTCACATGTCTCCGCCTACTTACCGCCGGAGTGGGCTGGGGTGTGGACACGGATGTGGGACTTATGACGATGGTGATTGAAGATTCTTCACGAGCCATCTCGCCATCTTTCTTGTTCCTAGCCACTAGCCACGTTCAGAGGACGCCGCACGCTACTCGTGTCTTCGGTACCAGTAAGGACTAACAATAACTCGGCGTACCTTTCAGCCTCCTGTGGGCCGCCTTATCAAAACTTATCGAGCCTTGACGCTTAACTGCGTAATGATCACCCCCAGCTCCAATCTTGGTTCACACATTCTGCACCGAGTGGGGTTGGCTTATACATAGTACCTTTCGTACTGCTGCTTCGTCGTCATGTCCTGCTCCCAGGCGAGCCAGGATCTTGCTAGAGATCCTATTTCCCTTACTCTGCTTTGCATCACTCTCGCGCCATCAGGGACTGTGGAGTTTTAACGGGCCCTTGATGGATTTTCTTTTCGGTCTTGGCTCGGAGCCATGCACCATTTCGTGATGGATTGCCACCCGGTCCCATTACACGTGCGTGGTGTTGTATCATCGTTTGAGAGCCTTGGGTACGCGGGCACAAAGATAAATAACCCCCAGACCCGACAAACCCTTTGGCGGTTTTCCCCAGCATCTCTCCATACTCCCCATTTCCCCGTTGATCCTGCCCTTCGAAAGATCTCGACGAGCATAACATCATGGGGCACAAAGAAAACGCTGCCGGTGTCCCCACCTATTGGGGGGCGTCTGGTGCAAAGCTACAGAAGCTTGTCACCACCGTTGCTACCATCGACTTCTTACTATTCGGTTACGATCAGGGTGTCATGTCTGGTATCATATCCGGCCCTCCCTTTGTTCATGATTTCCCTCAAGTCGATGGCGACGACACATGGCAAGGTTTCGTCGTGTCCATCTACGCTGTTGGTTGCTTCTTCGGTGCTCTCTTCATTCTCTTGTTTGGCAACAAACTCGGTCGTCGCAAGGCTATCTTCATGGGTGCCTCTGTCATGATTATTGGCGTTATCGTTCAGATTACTTGTGTACCCCCCAGTCACGGCGCGACTGCTCAGTTTATTATTGGGCGCTTCATCACTGGCATTGGAAACGGTATCAACACCTCGACTATTCCGATCTGGCAAGCAGAGTAAGTTTTCAATTTGAAATACCAGCCTCGTCGAGCCTCAGTACACTAACTGTTTGTAGATGCTGTCACTCGCACAACCGAGGCAAGCTGATTTGCATTGAGGGTGGTAACGTCGCCATTGGAACGTTGATCGCTTACTGGCTCGACTATGGCGCTAGCTACGGTCCTCACGCATTTACTTGGAGGTTCCCCATCGCGTTCCAAATCGTCTTCGCAGCAGCTGTTCTCGTCCTCATGATCAACATGCCAGAAAGCCCACGTTGGCTACTTACGCAAGATCGAGTAGACGAAGCGGCCACAATTCTAGCCGCCCTCAATGGCGAGAGCCGTTCGGATCCTCGCCTCAACACTCAGCTCAGCAACTTGAGGGATGCCGTGCGTGCTTCTGGCCAGCTCGACAACAAGACTCGCCCTAAGGACCTTTTCACTGGAGGCCCCACGCAACACTTCCGTCGTATGTTGCTTGGTTTCTCTTCGCAGATGATGCAGCAGTTGTCTGGATGCAATGCTGTCATTTACTACTTCCCTATCCTGTTTCAAACAGCTATTGGTGTTTCCAACAACACAGCCTTGCTGCTTGGTGGTGTTAACCAGATTGTTTACGCCCTGTTCGCCACCACCTCATGGTTCGCTGTCGAGCGTGTCGGCCGACGTAAGTTGTACCTTATCGGTACCGTTGGACAGTGCTTATCCATGGTTCTCACTTTTGGTGCTTTGATTCCTGGTACCCCTTCCGCCGCGAAGGGTGCTGCTGTTGGTCTATTCACTTACATTGCGTTCTTCGGTGCCACTTGGCTACCGCTACCTTGGCTCTACCCCGCCGAAATCAACCCGCTCAAGACCCGTGCTATGGCCACGGCTAGCTCGACAGTCAGCAACTGGCTTTGGAACTTCTTCATCGTTCTTATCACTCCTGTGCTCGTGAACAATACGGGTACGCACGGTTGGGGTACTTATCTATTCTTCGCTGTTCTGAACGCCATCTTCTTCCCCATCATCTACTACCTGTATCCCGAGACAGCAGGCCGAAGTCTCGAGGAGATTGATGTCATTTTCGCCAAAGGATATACAGAGAAGATCAGCTACGTCAAGGCGGCCAAGGAACTTCCCTTCCTTGCTGAAGATGAGGTTATGAGCAAGGCTCGCGAGTACGGTATTGATGTTGAGACCGAGGAAGGCCAAGTTCCAGGTGAAGTAGAGAAGCCTACCATCTCGGAGACCTCATCGTCACGATCAGCTGTTTAGATTATAGAAGAACGGCTGGGTCGTCTTCAATGGTATGGTCGCGTTTTGAAAACGCCGGTTATTTACGAAAACTTATGAAAGACTTTTTGGCATATAAGAGAGACCAAGGTTTTTTAAGAGGACCTACTGGATAGACTCGCATTGAGCGAGAGAGAGACTTTTTGCATTTTCATGTTACGTTAGATACCACCACTTGAGCATTTGGATATCCATAGATCGGGCATGCGCCTTTTGGCCGCGCGCGACCCAAGTTTGGAGAGTAGACTGATTTTTCTAAACTACACTAGCGCTTGCAATTAGAAGCGATACAAAACAGTTACAAATACATTAGATTGTATTCAAAACACCATTTAGTGATATGTACATACCGACTATTCGCAGTTGTGCACAATGCAAGTCTTGGGCAGTTAACCACACACAGCTAAGTAATGCGCCGACGCGCACGACGTCACTCCGGACCCATCTCCGCTGATCAACAAGGGTGCACAATCAAAGTCCACATCTATCCCACATATCACCTTATGAGCCCATATTTTCAATCCACATAATATGCCCTTCTCACACCGTCTGTTGGAAGATCACCAGTGACCACCGTGCGCGCTGAACTAAAGACACTCCGCCCTACCTATTGCCCTATCAGAGCCGTAATTTCACTGTTCCTGAGCTGTAAAACTTGTCGAGAGCCGCTAACTATTGCCTCGACTCCTGAACATCACTCAGCGGATGTACTAAGACTTACTTACTTACTCGAGTGCGCACCAATCAGCACATAAGTAAGTAGGCACTTATAAGGGATATGCAATTGTAGATCCGTGGGGGCTGGTCCAAATGCTCGGCAAGCGCACCTCGTCGGACGCAGCGGGAGATGGGAATTCTTTGGTACTGATGCGCTAGGCGATGATGAGCCGACTAATCCTCGTTGTTGGTAGTGTTTACATATCGAATGGTTTATCTGCGGAACTAGTGCGGTGTAGATTGGATACTGCCTGCATACATAGTACATGTGTATGTAGTGTAGTGTGGTTGATTGCGACTATTTCTACGTTGGGATGGGTTTACATATTTAGTATCATGCTACTTAGATGTTTAGGCATTTTAATCTACGGGATTGCACTATTTACTTACTCAGCAGTTAAGTACATGTCGTATTAGATGATCAAGCAACATGAGTGTGGTTGGTACTGCTGATCTACTTTTACAGAGTAGAAGAACGATATAAGAGAGAGATGAAAAATCCCTTGGATAACTACCTAATTATGCTCATATTTCCCATTCCGAATTCCGATGTTGCAAGGAATGCATATGTATGTATGTCATTGTGTGTGTCTATGTTGTTCTGCCTTTACGTCTTGTCTTGTTCGTACTATTGTATATAAGTAAGTAATACATGGATGAGGGCGGCGGGCGTTTTGCGGTTTTGGGTAATCCGAACGCTTGCGCTAATGCTGAAATGCCTGTACTGAGTATGGTCGTGGTCCGGAAAAGGTGGGACGCGCCGTCTTGGTGCCTGCGGCTCGTCGGCCATCTTTGTAATCTTGGATGAAGATGAATGATTAGGGAGTATGAGTGAGTGTTGCTTCAGTAGAGAAGGGTTCCTTCGTCTCTTCTCTCCTTTCCTTCTTTCCTTCATTATCTGCTTCCTTCTTTCTTATAAACTTTTAATGTGAAAAAGAGTAGTGTTTTCAGATTCTTCCTTAAGACCGTGTGAGAGTGGGAGGTTAGTGAAGGGAGGGAAAAAAGAGGAGCATAATAATAATTTGATATAAACGAGGGGAGACCCATACCCCACGTTCGTGGGGAACGAAAAGTGAAATCACGCGTTTCTGCTAGTTATGTGGTTCTGGAGTGGACGTGCGCGCGGTGTGAGGCTGACACGGTGCACGAAAGTAAGGCGTCCGCAGCTGCTGGTGTCCCCCGGGTTCCCCGTGTTGGTGTTGCTCATACCACCCTCTTCCTACTCTCCCCGTGAGAATGGAGGTCCGGGGAATCCGGGGAATTTGTTGTGGTGTGATCCTTTGAGAGTGCGGAGCAGATGCGGAGAGTAGTAACGGTAGTGGTTCCTTACTTTGCGATGTATGCTACTGACTGTTGGTCACTGGAATTCTGCATGTGCAGACGATCGTCGGGGTTAGGCTCCGACTAGATGAGGCAGTACCTGATCCATCTAGGTGTACCGTAGCACCCGAGGCACCGTGACCACTCTCATGTTCCTTGTGGGCATCTGAGATCGCTAAGCTGAGCAAGTCATATGGATCGCTCCCTGTTGATCATGTCAGGACGCCGTTGATGATCATCGAAAATCGCGCCGCACACGTGCTCAGCTACTTTTTCTTAGCCATTTACTTACAGTAGTGTAGGGTGTTCGCTCGCCTTTCCTCGGAATTTGCATTTGATCAGAGTCTGATCAGAGGTTGGGCGTGAAGGTACAGCTATGAGAGGCCCGCATTCTATCACCCGCATGAGGATGAAAATGGTGAGATTTTCAGTCGGCCGATGCAGTTTCGAGTACCACTTGTACATACGACTACAGTAATGAGCTACAGACTAAGACATGCAGACTAGAGATTTCTTTTATGTGCTGTTTCTACTTGGTGGCGTACGCCATACCAAGTCGTGATCATTTCATCTCGCGAGACTTGTAGTCATATAATACTGTGACAGACGTGAGAAGCACTCCTGTTTTACGCACCAATCGTTCCCCCAACTCATTCGAAGTGTTTCAACTGTGAAGCGGCTTTACATATCCTCTCATCTACTGAGACTTATGCTCAAATTTAAACCCTTTCAAAAGTGCGATTGACCTCATTCACAACTTACAAATAATTGGCGAAAACCCCTGAGATGCTTGTCGACGTAGACAGCAGTAGCGTATTGGTGCAGCCATCATCATTACTCTTGAATATCGGTAGTTATCGACTTAAAATATTATCAGAACGAAGTAAAGCTTGTTGACAGCCTTTTTTACGAAATTGTCGCAATTCTCTACAAGTACATATCATGAGGCTTCGATATCCTTGCTGACTAAGCCGATCTTACTACTACCCCTTTTCAAACATTTCACCCTATCCCTTGTTAAAAGTGGCATATTGATGGGGGTAAAAGTATTACACAAGATTCAGGCCTATTCCATCATCAATAGACGCATCGAAAACGAAATCGCACTGCTCATACTGGTAACGGATGAAGGAGACTCTCTTATGCGCTGAACACGTTTGTACGCCCCTATACGTATGTAACCAGTAATTAGACTTCGGTGAGGTACCCCCAAATTCAAAGTGAAGCAATTAAATCCTGACTTATTCAAATATATTTAAGCTGAGAAACTTTTAATTCCTATTGTATCTTCTAGCGTGGTATTTACTCCAAGTTGCGTGAAAGAGACTACCTAAGTCGACTGTAGGCTAGGACCTTGCGTATAGAGTCAAATAAGTTGAGCGTATCCTCTAAATTGGTCAATTAGCAAGCATGCCCATGATTGTATAGCAATACCATGTTCTGATTAATTATAATCAGTTTCCCTTGAAAAGCGACCCAGAGATCATTTCTTTACAATGTGGTGTAAAGAGTAGTTTGTGTCGTGGACTAATGGGTGTTCGGTGAGTGACCAGACGTACAAGCCTCACTGTCGTTGTATCGCACGTGCTAGTTCACACTTTACTACACGCATCAGAGCCTCCTAGCTCCTCATAATTCCCGGCGAAAACACTCAAAGTCGCATTCATGATGACAGCGCTACTATAGCATTGATATACAAGAAGCATTCAACCTTATGTAGGCGTTCTAGCTATTCAGCGATCAATAGTTTGTATAGAAAGAACTCTATTAACCAATGTCTGCAAAAGCCATTGAAACAATGTGCACACTTCATTGAGCAATCCGCAAGCTTTATTGGAAACAATGCACAAGCTGTAATACTAGAGATTATCAGCGAACTCCATTCAGAACATAATACATGACTGTATTCACCCTAGCTATAAAATAGAAACATTCAGTTCATAGTGTCGCATAATAATAAACATTTCATATACAATACATTGATACGATTATAGAAGAGCTAAGAATATGTACCTCATTAACTGTGGTGCTACTTTCGCTGACTATATATAACTCTCCCTAGTTTACTTCTCCCGTCTTTCATATATCTTGCCCTTGGCTCCTGACTTGTACCAATTCATTTGTAGCGATTTCGACATTCAACTCGTTTAGTACTATATCTACTTCCATCATTCTTACCTTTTACTAAAGAAGCAGTTCCAATGAAAAGACGCTGTATACCTGACAACTTGGCCAGTATCCTCCGCGAGAGACCAGAAAGCCTTCTTGGCACTTTCTGGCAATACGAAAAAGAGTAAGACAACAAATATATGCACTGCAATCTTTTCTAACAGCATCTAGGCCAGCTGATTGTTTAGTCATAATTGAAGATGTGGGCTACTTTCCTGCACATAAGTCACGTCTGGCATCATGTTCAAAGTTTTTTAAGGGAGCATTCTATGGGGGTTTCAAGGTCGGTACTTTCCATTTTATTTCAGTCAGCGGATCGAGTGCATTTCAAACTAACGGTATTGGAAATAGGAAACACACAAATCCGTCCTAGTATTTCCTGAAATGGACTCCAAGGCACTTCACTTGTGCATGGCCTGTTGCTATACGGGATGTCAGTACTGCGTACCCAACGTCACGATAGTCATGCATTTTGATTAACAGCCATCGGGATTTAGGGGACAACGCATTCTATGAGTGTTTCAAGCGCGACGCACTAAAGCCATACTTCGGGGATGAAGATTGTACAAGGATCGAGGACAAGTTAAAGATCTATCTCCGGATATATGAGGTTGCGGATTATCTCATAATAACCCCGATCCTTGATGACTTCCTGGAGATCTTCCACGAGTTTCTAACTGTCTCCAACTTCGAGCTCTGCCCGGAGCGCCATCTACTATGGCTTCAAATAATTGGCTGGGGCTGCGAAAAGTGCTGTCCAGATCGTACCCAGTTCATCGATTACAAGCTGACAAGGGAGCGGTGTCGCATGCTCATTGCTCAAATGATCGACATGGATCTCTCCATACCGTTCCGGCTCTTCCTAGAAGATTTTGCGTGCTTGTTGGTGTGCCAAAATCGTTACAGCAATATCGACATGAGGCTCGAGGCCCTAATCGAAGAGCTTCCTGAATTCGAACCATATCTGAACAATTATTATTCAGAGTGGAGAGACTTGAGAGTCCGATCCCAAACCTCAGAGGATGAATGGCACAGTCAATCCGATGATGAAGAAAGTCTAAGCACAGAGGAATTAGAAGAAGAAGAAGTAGAAAATGCCTCGAATAGCGGGCTGGCGTGGGGAAGCGAAAGCAACAACAACAACAACAACAACTCACGGAACTCTTGAGCCTGAATCTATAGTCCGCTCAACCGGAACACATCAGTGATTAGTTAATTACCTACGACAGTAATCTAGTTTCAGGAGGTCCAAGATAGCTACTCTTCAATCCATTCCGTGTGTTCAGCACAATTTTCTCTAAATAAACCTCCGGTGAATTTGCCTGCCATCGTAATGTATGTTGTCCCTGTCCCACCTCTCCTAGCGTCACATTCCGGATCCAGACATGGTCGGCTACAGTCGTGCGCCAGTCTGGTGGGGTATCACCAGGTGTTGCTGGGTCTCCCAGTAATCGCGTAAAGTTGGCAGTTGCCTCGCCGTCGTTTATTGTTAGTGAATATCTCATAAGGAGCGTAGGGTCTGTATCCAAGGCGCCATTGATATATACAGTGGCGGTGAGAGTAGAAGCATCATAGAGATAGATGTCATACTCGGCCCATGCGGCCCTGGCAACATCTTCGGATACACGTGCCTGTTTGTAGGGACGGAGCGCCAGTGAGCCCGAATTAGTGCGCGTGCCTAGGTAAAGGATGTGTTCAAATGTGACATTGCCGTCAGACTTGCGCTGGAAATGAGGCGCTTCAATTGATATGATGCCCGATGTCTCCGGAAACCCTACAAAGTCATCTGGAGCCTTGTAATTAATAATAGGCAAGTGTACGAGGTCGAAGAATGGCGAGTGATTGTAGTTGATGCGTACGCCTATGTTCTCATTCATGTCCTCTGGGACCGAAGACCAATCAATCGAGACATTGATGCGTTGCTCAGGCTGGTTCATTGATAGGGTGCCAGAGGAGGGGTTGAACATGGTCCAGTCGAACGGTATATCTACTTCCCATTCAATAGGAATTCGGGAATCACCTCGATGGAAAAGATCAATTGTCCATGTTCCCTTCCCATACGGATCCATGATCGGCAGCGTTGGCGCGAACTTGCCGGATGTCGGTGCAGAGTCCCATGCTGAGGGTAAACTACGGGCTTGCTCCTGTGCACTCCCGCCTCCCTCGGCGAAGATACCTAGATTTCCAAACGGATATGATGAATTTTGCCGAAGGTTGATGTACCACAGTCCTGAGATGACATCCCTAGTAGGCTCTGCCCAGTCGTCCCCAAAGCTTTGGAGATATTGGTCGTAATGAGGTTGCGACAGTATCCCAGCCCACTTACCATCCACAATGGAGTCATACATCTCAGTAAAGTCAAAGTCGCGGTCGAAATCCTCTCTAATTTGATCTGCTAGAGCATTGGCTGAGTTTCGACGTTCGTATCCAATTTGCTGATTCTTGCCCAGTCCTAACATGACCGAGTAATACGCCTGGCCAGAACCAATTGGGTACTGGACATGGTGCCAATAAGCATCCTTGCGTTCCTCAGGTAGCTGTTCCGCGACGGAAGCTACTTTGTCAGCCAGAGCCTGCCATTCCGCTAACACACGCTCATTCTCGTGGTAGTTCACAACCGAATATGTCTTTGACTGAACAGATTCGTATTTCCTCCTTCCGATGAGCCTGCTTTGCTCCATGAGTATCTCGGAGATCTCTGAAGCATACTCTGGTCCAAATTCGCGTGCAGCAAATGCTTCAAGGTAGCTTGGGATAGTTTCGAAGTCAATAGAGGAGACGTTCCACGCAAGGTCCATAATAAAGCCAAATGGCATCTCAAGGGGCTTGATGTCGGCGATGTTGATGACCCAAATACGATCTGCTCCTCGCTGAGAGGCATGGTACAGCTCTTTGAAGACTTTCGGCTGAATTTTAATAGTCAGAACAGTCTAGCAGTCAAACATATCCCAACTTACCAAATTATTTGTGTTTTGCCACTTATAGGATTTAGGAATTCCTACATATTCCAGGTGATAGTACATCTAATGAATTGCAACTGTCAGCACGCACTAGACTTCGCGCGGAAGACGGGATTCGATCTCACCCCTACGCCTCCAGACCTCGCTGTCTCATTAGCAAGAGGCAACCTCTGAATATTTCCCCAGTTGTCGTCCGTAAACATGAGAGTCACATCTTCAGGTGGGGTTAGACCGGCCGCGTAATAGGTTGCCACCTCCTTATAAATCGTCCAGACCTCTGTCTATCATTAGCTGGGCCGCATGCGAGCTTTATAAACGTACGATTTGCCGCTGACTCATTTCCATAGTACTTCGCCAGAATCCCGCGTTGCGTCTTGAATACATCTGTGAGGATACCGACTGGATCGTCCGATTGGATTGGTCCATCGCCCTCGCCACGCATGCCCAGAGTGAAGTACGATTCATTTTGGCCAGCCCTGCGTGCGCCGTCCTCCATGAAGACTGTCACATTGTCTTTGTTTTTCTCCCAGTCCCACGGACCTGAAATTGTATCATTCCATTCATTGGTCGCCTTTTGCATGGGTTCGTGATGACTAGTTGACACAACGATCCCATAATCGTCCGCAAGCTGCATGTTGCCAGGGTCATCGGTGAAGAAGATATTCCCAGGTTTATATAGCAACGACTTCCACATGGATGGCCATAGGAAGTTTCCCTTCAGACGAAGTAGCATGTCGAATACATGTCGGTAAAACTCGGTGTCTATTGGTTGATGATTAACTCCGTGGACTTTCGACCACCAACTATAACTGTCAGATATCTGCTTTCTTCAAACTAGCTCGGCCTTCTCCTTACCCTGTTAATCCAGGGGCTTCATCGTTGATGAATAGGCCACGGTAACGAATGCTTGGAGGCCCAAATGTGGTATCCCCTGATAATGCGTAGATCTCCTCGTGCTTTGTTGCTGGAACATCTGCCCACCAGTGGAATCTTTGCCCTTTAGTATATAAATAGACTATGAGTCTCTTTACGGCGGACTCACGGAGACTGGCCACATTGCTCTGAGAGAGTGTAGATGCCGTACATTACACCCCTCTTATCGCTTCCTGCAATAACCAAGGCTCTCTTGACACCGGGTATCGGATCATCGACGACGCTTGTCTGGTAGCTTTCCCATTTCCCATCAATAGCAGAAACATCCAGTTTGCCATCTTCTACTATGGCTCCTAAAACGTCAGACCCGACGGTTGCAGCGATAATGACATTGTCAGTACAGTTCGTGCACTCTAATGATTCGCCATTACTAATTCTGAATACTGAAGGCTGCGTTCCCGTGATAGCTTCGAGATCCTCGGCGAGACTCGTAACGGCGATCTCGACACCGACAGGGTCATTGGCGCTGTACACGATCGAAGCGCCGTGAAGAGGAATTGACCCTTCCGCATTTTCGAATGAGACAATGCGCTTCTCAAGCAGTCCTAAAGCGCAGGAGGAGAGAGTTAGACACAAGAGCCGCGAAAGTCGCATGATGGTGTCTGGAAGTGAGATATCCGCCGCAGTTTTGTCCGCGTCAGCTCGTGCCTTGAAGCATTGAGAGGCATCTTTCTAAAGTAGTTTCCCCGACACAGGCCACATTTTATATGTACCCTTGCTTTACTGACGTTGCGATGCTCGGCAGACTCATTACGCATCGTATTTCCCCGCGTTTTCTCCTCTTTCACATGATGGATCAAGGATCGGCACTCAAAATCTTCGTTTATAGTGAGCCGATCTCCTGCAACGAAGATCTCAATCCGCTATCCCCGGATTCTATCCGGCTACTACCCCGGATCTGCGAGCAGGTGTTTCCTATTGCTCTAACCTAGATGACGATGAGCGATCTGCCATCACTGCCGGGTTGGTGTTACCGCATTTCGCTTCAGCACTATAAATAACTTCTGGCAGGCTTTCTCCTTTTCTCAAATAACTCCTATCATTCGATTTCCATACCACAAGACAATAACTTGGCAATGCCATCGAACAGACCAAGATAATCCATATTCATATGTGGAGCATTACCTTGATAGTCAATCATAGTGTGTCGCAGCGAGATCTTGGCAGTTAAACTGCGACAAATGGGGCGGAACTCTTATGGCTCCCATCATCTCGGCTTGTAAAGGATCTATCAATGTTGAATAGTTACCTGATTTTCTATTCCCATCATAGTTGAGGAGAAAGTTAAACAGCCCTCGGCAAAGGCAGCTTGGTGCACTGCGATTAAAGCCCTTTCTGTAGTCATTTTCTCCATTCCACCACCAGCGATAAGACCTCCGACTTGCGGATTCACAGGTGCTCCACATGGTCCCTGGAGATGGTTTGAGTCTCTGCTTTCTTACCCAACCTTAGCAGCACGTTCTAACACTATGCCTCCATCCCTGAGCCCTCACCTGCCCTTTTCGGTAGTCTGCCAACCACGACTGTGCCGATCCCTCAAGAAAGATAAGCCACGTGCGCCAGCGCCATGGTATTCCAAGCTTCAGTCGCCGTTTGACACTTTCCATCAATGCGACTAAGATCCGTGGTAAGAATACCACATCTCACGGCACCAGCTCAAAAAGGAAGCTGGGCGTGATGTGAGTACGCAAGCCGTCAATTGAAGGCGTTCGCGATAAGTTCTCATTTATAAATATGTAATTGTCTGCCTTTCTTCCTACACGTAGTCTTTCGCATTCAAGCAGGTCTCAGTCAAAGCTCGCATATTTTCTCTCTCATTCTATAACTGTTTCAAATTTCAAGATGCAGGTCTTCACATCACTCTTGGCCCTGGTGGCCGTCGTCGCCCCTGCGCTTGCTGTGCCTGTGATTGAGGAGCGTGCTGCGACAACATGCGGCTCGACATATTACTCTGCTACGCAGGTGAATCAAGCCGCCCAAAAGGCTTGTACTTATTACAAAGCTGGCAGCGTACGTGAATCTTATTCCCCGAAGCATTAGACATCAACATAGTAGCTAACCGTCAATTGCTAAAGACCGCTAACTCATACCCTCACACCTACAACAACTTCGAAGGCTTCAGCTTCCCCATCTCTGGTCCCTACCTAGAATTCCCTATGCTCTCGAGCGGCGTCTACACTGGCGGTACGTAATACTGATATAGAAGCAGACCAGTTGATTGCTGGATTAGATACTTATTCGCTCATAGGAAGCCCTGGCGCTGACCGTGTCATCATAAACACCTCTTGCAAACTCGCTGGCGCGATCACACACACCGGGGCCAGCGGAAACAACTTCGTCGGCTGCTCTGGAACCCGCTAATCATCTCAAATTGGGGCTGAAACTCCGAGCGCCTATTCACCGATGGGTTACTGAGGCAGCTATGAAAAAAGAATTGCACTTTATGAGACTACATTATAATGATAAGCGTTCAGACTTATTTAAAAGGGAAAAAAATTAGGAAATTTCAATCGAATCCTCAATCTTAAATGCATCATGGTGTGAAGCAGTGCTTACTATTCAGATTCAGCAAACATGAAATGTAACTACCAGCTGCAAGGTATTTGTTTCAGCTCGCAATATTCACTCGCGATAGCTTTAGATAGCAGGTCTTCAGTGAGTCAATTCGTGACGTTGATTCCGCATTCAGTTCCTTCAACCTGCAACGGTGTATTGCCTCATGTATTTCGCCTTGAGGTATATATCGGCGCTTCTCCTTTTATAGAGATAAAAAGGACTGTTCAACGCGGCCACTCATCTCGGTACAGGTTCAGGTAAAGGAAAAACGATATGCTTGTTATATAGTGAGGCTTCTATGAGTTCTGAAAAATCTAACAGATGAGATACCTCCTTTGACCACCTATTTCGTGTATAGGTATTCCTATGCGCTCACAAAGGAGTGCTAGGGTCTCATTTAATAGTCCAGGCCGGTAATGAAGAGGATAGCACAAGCGTGCGCGCCAAGGTAGCCTGCTTCGAATACAACAAATCAGTTTCTCACAATGGCGTTGCTTACCCCGCTCTGAATATCCTTCATTGTATGTCGTCGTTTGCTATCGAGAGAAACGAATCAAACCTCAATCGCATTTTATAATTCTTTCAGGCTTTATCATCCCTTCATCGATCAGAGGGCTTTTCTGCCCGACGAGATCGCAATACCAGCGACAATGGGCAGCCAACTTGTACAAGCCCAGTGGAGCCTCAACGAGACCTCAGTCTCGGTTTATAGTATCGCGAGGGGTGTTCTCGAAGCTGCAACGAGCGACAATGTCCAGCCCCTGGCAATCATGGCATGCGAACAATTTGGAAATACACTGGCAATCAGTCGCGAGACACGACTCAAAATCGAGAGGACCGTATTGCCCACACCAGAGCCAGTCACAATTCAATTCCTCAAGGCTAAAGTGGGCTTCAAGAAGCATGATTGTGCCGTCCAGCTTGGCAGCAATCAGGCTGGCTTACGTTTTCTTGCTTTGGCCGCGGCTCTCATATCGAGCGTCAACAAGATATACTGTGCTGATGCCTTGATGCTCATGCTCGAAGAAACAACATCGGACAACCGGCTCCTGCCTACAAGAAGACATTTAGCAGACTTAATGTCTAGCTTAGAAGCTAGATGCCGCTTATCAGGCTTCTCAGATGTCGTATTTGGGTATAACTCGATTATAATAGGAGCCAGTCTCTCTAAAGGCTTTCTGACCTACAAAGAGGCACATCACGTCCCAGACGCGAAAGGATTGGCAGTTCTTGTTGATGCCTGCCGTCGTCTGCAACGAGTGGGCGAGCATGAAATCAGCTCTATTAACGTTAAAGCCCGAAGCTGTGCGGCGTGGATTGCTGCATTTTCCAAGTGGTCACTCGAGCTTCCGCCGTCAATTGAATTACTCGATGGCACGCCTATCGTCTCTCAACCAGGATCCAAATTCATCATTATTGTGGATCCTGGTCCAAAGAGCCAGGCAGGATCTGATATAGAAGTGACCACGAAATTCAAACTCCGCTCTCTCCAGGATCTAGTATTTCGATGTGCATCTTCAGGTGAAACCTCCTATCGTATTACGTTCCGGACTTACGGCCAGTCACTTCTAGACAGTTGCGGCCCTGAGCAATGGGCCAAAGATGCTGTCCTAGCAGCACTTCCACTCTCAATCAAGCTCATTTGCAATCGGGCTAGGGAATCTAGCCGGGCTTTCGACACACCCTCGGCTCATTTCACCATCACACAACCAAATCCATTCCCAAGCATCAAGTCTATATTCAGAACAATGACCCTCTTGTTTGATCTACGCCCGGAATTCCCATTTGACTCTCTTGCTTCTACAACATCTTTCAGGGACTTACCTGAAGTTAACTATTATCTTCGCACCGTCGATCTCCTCCGTGTCTGGCCACACTTTTCGCTCAAGGAACACGACATTGGACCAATTTGGACCTTAGGGAGAGACTCCGACGAATCCCTTACTGATCTTTTACCACGGGTGAGGGCCTTCATCTCGGTGCTCAGGTTTGTATCTGCCTCTCTTCTCATGTTGTCTTTGTTCGATAGTGTTGAAGATATGCAATTTATTCCCCCAGACACCACAGCTTGGTTTCCAGATCAGACTCAATTATTTGATATTGCAAAGCATTCTCTCATAAATATGTCTACTAGTATTGGTCTTGGATCTATGTGGAGGGATGTGCTTAAAAGTTCGATTCTGCCAGAGAACGATGCCACGATAAATTATGAGGGCATAGTCCTGAGCTCTACGCCAACTCACGTAGTTTGGCCCTCGTTGCTCGACGAAATGGTTCCTACCAGAGATGGCATTTGTCGCATAAGTTCCTGTCCTGGAAGGATTATGTATGAGCGCGAGGATTACGACAACGTTTATATATTTAATGACGATCATTATAAAGGGGAGTGGCAGGGCATGGCTCCGAGAGAACCAGAGGAGACTGACCGCTCTCCCGTACAAGGTCCCTGGGCCTCTATGACAGTTCAATGGGAGCTTTTTCGGTATCAAGGCTGCTTGTATGCCAGCCAAAGTCTTATCCACCGTCGGAACCCTGAGAAATATGGCTGGTCTAATACTATCTTGGGTGCCAGACTGCCGTTGCTTATTAACTGCGATCACCCAAAAGACAGTCCACCTACCCCCAAGGCAGAAAACGGCCCGCGGGTTTATGCTACTCCGAGCAGCATTCGCCGCGAAGGGGGCAAGTTGAACATCTTCCCAGTGAGCGGAGTCCCGGAACTTCAGTTGTTCGTACTAGGTATGAAGGCCAGCAAGAAGTCCCCAGTGGCTATACGGCAGAGAGCTTGTTTTGACTGCTGCATCGAGGCATGTAACAAGGCGGGCATTCACACTTTGATTATATGATCACACGACATAGATTACTTGTCGGAGCGGGGTGTACCAAAGTCATCACAAACTTGAATGAACTTTCAAACGAAATCTGTGATTATAAACTCACTGTTGACTATATCCTCATCTCTTACCCCCACGCTACGTCACATCACCACTGTATGCCGCAAGAGAACATAACACGACAAGGACAGATAAGGTTGGAATTAAATCTATTCACAATGCAACTAAATAATCCAGTAGGTCCGCGAAGCCCCTTAAATACCAGGTTCCTTCCCAGCCGTAGTAGCCCTGGAAGCTGAACCACCTACTATATATACAACTAATAAATACGTTCCAACATCTAGAAACCCCAAATGAGTATCTCACACCAGCAAGGCCCATAGTGGCTGTACAAGATATACAGTAAGACTCTCACTGTGGCACAAGGTCTGAAGTCCGAGACTTCTCCGGCTATACACAGCGTATCTCTTTTGTGTTCCTCCGTCCCCACGACTGCCACGATAGCCGGCGTAGCCCACCCTGTAGGGGCGTGAATGGCTACTCGGAGGCTATATATACGTACATGCTAAAATGGAAGGTATATGAGGGTTACATTCAACTGAACTACTTGACTTGAGTGAGGTGGGAAGACCGTTTTATATACATAAACAGTGCCTTCGTGACCCTTTGTGACCCTTGACCCGTACCGTATACATAAAGTAACTCCTTTACCACCTATACTTTTAACACTCCCGTTAAAGGAAATGCTTTATAAATTAAATAGCTTCGTAGTCTATAGTCCTAGCTAACTAAAACAGATTTAAAATAACCATATAGGTTATAATATATTATTCCTATTACTTTTATAACTTATTATTTATTTTATTATAATAACTTTATAAATAATAATATATTACTTTTATTATTTTTATAGCTTTATTATTTATTATTTAAATAAATAATTTAAAGCATTATAATTTATTATTTTTAAAGTATATTAATAATTATAAAATTATAATTATAAAGCTTTTATTAATTTTTATATATATTTATATTATTTTTTTAAATTTTTTATTACTTTTATTTATATTTATATAAAGGTAATAAATTAAGATTATTAGGAGATCTTTAAATTAAGATTATTAGGAGATTTTTAAATTAAAATTATTAAAAGATCTTTAAAAAACCTTTAATAACTTTTTGGATTCGAACCTAATTATTAAATAATTTAAGCTACTATAACCGGAAGTTTAACTTTTACCTAATAGGAAGTTCGTATTTTAAACGTAAATAACAAATGTAGAAAAAAACGAAGGAATAGTAATGGATAACCTATTTATTAATAACGTAATGGAAAACTAAAATGGACCTATTAACGATATAACTATAATATAATAGCTATTTAACGGAGAGTAAGCTATTATTAATTTAAAAAGAATTAAAGGGATGTTAAATAAAGTATTTAAATTAATATTATAGCTTATAATAAATAGGAAAACGGAAAAAGGATTTTTTTTATAGAAAGATATAAAAAAGATATAGTTAATTTGTTTTATTTATAAATTAGCTATAAAACGGGTAAAATTAAAACCGAATACCGGAAAAAGAAATAATACTTTAATTATTTAAAGGAACTTTAAAGAAGCCCTATAAAAGGCCCTATAATAAACTATATACGTAATAATAAACTTTTTAAAGTTATAGGCCTAAATAATAATTACTATATAATTAGGTAATATTAATAAAGTAATACTATTAAGGTATAATAAAGAAATCCTTATTTAAATTAAGGAATAAATAAATAATTTTAAAAAGAAAACATTAGGAAATATTATAAAAATAATAAATATAATACTTCTTAAAAATAGCGTTATTATAATAAAAAAGCTATATAGTAATAATATAATAGTAATATTTAAAAATATAATATTAAAAGAAGTAATAAACGGGAAATAAATAATAAAAGCTTTTAATAAAGGGTTAAAGCTATAATATAAGGAGGTAGCTATAATAATAAAGGGGATCCTAAAGAATTAAATTTAAAGAATATATATAAATAAAGAATTATTATAATTACTTTAAAAGGAATACTTAAATATTATATATTATAACAGAATAATATTTAAAAATAGTAAAGTAAGGTTAATATTTATTACTATTTATATTATTAATATAATAATAATAAAATTAATATATAATAGTAGCTTTTTATAAAAGGTTTAACTTTTTAATTATAAACCCTTTTTATTGGAATTAAGGATTATATAATGCTTTAATTACTATAAATATAAATATATAGTAAAATATTATAAAAAGGATTTAAAATATAGCCTTTATATAATATTAAAACATTAAAAAAAAGAAAAGGAATATTTAATAAAAAAAGCTAATAGGAGGAAAAAATATATAAACTATAATAAAGCTTATATAATTTAAAATAGGGGATATAAAAAAGGAATAAAGGAAAAAGATAAAGCAAAAGTAATATATATATTATATTTAAAAAGCTTTTAAAATAAAAAGGAAATAAAAGTTATAAATAAAGAAATAATTAGCTTTAGGGCCCCTTTAATATTAACCTTTACTAAGCTTAATAATAGTGGATTATTAATAAAAAAGCTATAAATTAATAGTAGCGTAGGAAAATTAACCTTATTATTTACCTAATAATATATAATATAGCCTTTTGGAATATTATAGGATTAAAAATTAATATAGTAAAGTTACTTTTAAATATTAACTTTAATTATATAATAATATAAAAACCTTTAATTAATAAATATAATAATATTTATTGCTTAAGGAATTATAACTATTAACCTATATAGGGAAAAGGTAAAGCTATACTATACATTAATAAAAGGATAGTAATAAAGTTATTAGGAAGGGAGATTAAAAAGGATTAAACAAATATAATAATAAGCAATAGCAATTTAACAATAACAATTTAATTAATATACTCTTTAAACTAGGAGGGGATTAAATAATAAAGCCTAATATAAAAGATAAAAAGGAAAGGAAAAATATTAGGAAAATACCTATTTATAAAAGACTTTAACCTTTATTACCTACTTTAAAACCTATTAAGTTATAAAAGCTAAAGGGTTAAGGAACTTTTAAAATTTATAGTATAATAAAACTTTATATTAATTATACTATAAAGGGAAGTAATAAAATTAAAAAAAGGTTAAAGGGATTTAATAATAAATTTAATATAAATAAATAGCAATTTAATAATAATATATAGGGAAAATTTAAAATAGTTAAAATTAAACTATATAGCAATAAAGATTATAATAGCCCTAAATATAATTCTATAAGGATATTACTATTAAATAAAAGGATAGAATTAATTAAAATTAAATAAAAAAAGAACTATAACGGAAGCCTTAATAAATATTATTAAAATAAAAGTCCTATAAATTAATAGTAAATTTAATAAAGTTTTTAATATATTTATTTTATAGCTTATAAAAATAATAAATAAATTTATACCTAAAAAAACCTTAAGGATAAAGCAAAAGGCCCCTATATAATAGTTATCGGAAGTAATAATAGTAGAAAAAAAAGCTAAAAAAGCTTATTGCTACTTTTAAAGCAAAAGAATTATAATAGCTTAAGCTACCCTTAAAAAAGAAAAATGGTTATTTAATAAAGAAGTAATAAAGATATAGGAATATAATTAAAAAAAAGCTTTAATAAAGGTATTAAAGGATTTAAAAATACTTTAAAGCTTAATTAAATAAGTAAGGTTTACTTATAAATTAGCATTTAAAATTATAATTATACTACTATTATTTAAAATTAAAGGTAACCTTAATATAATAAATACTTTTAAAGAAAAAATAACCTTATTAATGGAATATTTTTTCCTAGCACTATTAATAAACCTATTAAATATTTTAAATAAAAACCTTACTTATAATAGGTATTAATAGTTTAAAATAAATACTATAATAAAGGAAAAGGATATTATAAAAATAATTTAAAGGTTAGCTTTATAAAAAGTATTAAAGGGGAACTTATTATTTAATAGTTTTTTAAAAGTATACGGACCAGCTTTAATTAAATAATTAACTACCCTATATTCCGCTAGCTTTACTTTAAGGTATTACCTAATTAGATTTTAATAAATAAAGGTAATAATAATCCTAAAGCTAAAAAAGTTAAAAAGAATTAAAAGGACCTTAAAGGATTAATGCTTAATTATATTTATTAATATATTAAGGAAGGTTTTAAAAAAGGAGCTAAATTGTAGGTTAATAAAAGTAGTTAAAAAGAAGGAACTATTACCGGATAGCTAAATAGGAAATAAAAAAGGTAGGTTAATAAATATAGCAATTAAATTAATATTAAAGATAGTTAAAATAGCCTTTAGCTATAGGGGTATTATATCCTTTAATAAAAGGGCTACCTATTATAAATAATATTATAAATCTATTTATTTATTTTAAAAAGATTAGTATAACTTTATTTTAATAGTATTACTTTTTAATTAATCCCCTTTAAAGTAAAGGTCCTTTAAAGCTCCCCCCTTTTATTTTTATTATTCCTCCTATATATATTAATATTATATAATAACCTTATAATACATTAAAAGATAGTTATAATAAGGTTTATAAATAATATAAACCTTTTTATAGCTAACCTTTAAATAGAATAGAATTATAAGGTTTTAAAAATAGTATAATAAATATATAAAACTTAGGCATTAAAGCATAAAATAAAATTCGCCCCTTAGAAAAGCAAACTTATATATTTCTTTAAAAGCTAAAAGGTATTAAAATAAAAGGTTAAATTTAAACAAATAATAATATAATTAATAAATAATATAAGGTTCTTAAAGGTATAATTAAATAGAAACCTTAAATAGAAATAATACTTAGCTAAACTTAAAAAAAAGCTAAATATTTAAATATATATAATAATTAAACTATAAAATTTAGCATAGGGTAATAGTATAATAAAAGCTAAGTAAATTTATTCCGTAATAGTATGGAGCACTTTAGTATATAGGGCAATCATATAATATAAACGACCTAAGGGAAATAAACTAAAGGGTATAGCTAGCTCCTTTAAAGGCATTTAAAACGTTTATATTAAATATATTATAAGGGCCTTTAAAGCTATACTAATGTATTAATTTAAAACGGAATTAAATATACCCCCCGTTAACCTATATTTAAACAATAAAGCAACAATAAGCAAAAGCTAGCTAAAAAACTTAATATATTATAAAGTATTAATAAAAGCTATAATAAAGATTAATTAACTTATATAAGCATTTTAAAAACGGTAAGCTAAAAAGTAAACTAGGAGGAAATTTATAAATAATATAAAAAACTAGTTATAAAGTAACCTAATTATAAACCTATACTATTAATAAAATAAATAAGCTAAAGGAAAAAAACCGGATAATACTTTAATTAAAAAGTAAAAAGAAAAATGGAGCTATATTAAAATAGGATATAGCTACCTTATAATAGTAAAGTAGGAGCTTAATAGGAAAAGGTTATTATAAAAGTTTTATAAATTCCTAAAGTATAAAGCAGCTTTAATAATATAAATATAAACCGGAAAAATAAAACTTAAAGCCTTCCTATATAAAAGGAAGGTTTTAAAGTTCTTAACCTTCCTTTATAAATATATAAAGGGTAAAAAAACCCCCTAATATATAATCCTATAATACGGGCTATTAAAAAATAAAAGGAAAACT